ATTTTTGCTCCCTGGGAGAAAATAATATTGCAAATAATATATGGCTGATAATAAATTTATGTGTTAAATGAAAATATATTAAATCTTTATATGATGTGAACAAAAGTTTAATAACGAGATTGGTCCAGAGGGAGTACTGAGCTGCTGAAACATTGTTCCTTTTAAGCTTTAAAAATTCAGGTGAGTGGATCACTGCAAGGTTACAAAGAAATTTTATTCCTTTTCCTACCCTCTCATTATCAAGAGTGCAGTGAATGTTTCACCTTGTTGATGTGTCAGGATACCAAAGTGCATGGGCCAGATGTTGGATGCTTTATGGAGAGCTCTCACTCAGCTTTTCCTCCCCATATTCCTGTGCATCCTACATTCAAACTTTGAGACTAGTCTTAATACTTAATTTGTAGACAAGCGTTGTCTCAGTCCATCCTCAAAAAAAAAAAAAAAAAAAAAAAAAAAAAAAAAAAAAAAAAAAATCAAGATCAGGGAAAGGAGAAACCTGAGGCAAACAGAGAGAACAGAGAGACCTCCATCACAGCAATGGGCTGTGACTGGGGATGCTGATTTTTTTTCACACTGAATAGGGAACTCATAATTTAAAAAATTACCTTGTAGATGGTGATAAGGGCACCTTTCATTCCTCTGCAGACAAAACTTGTGCTGTGGCCCATTATGGTGGGTGCTTTTATCAGAGATTTACAGCCTAGCTGTCAAAAACTTTAAAAAGCTTCTATTAAAATGATGTGGATCTATCTATCTGAAACCTTTGAAATATATAAAGGAGCCCAGTTTTGGCCTCCTTTTCTAATCAGAGAGTGCAGCTGCACACAGGGCAGTCAGCTCCCCAGCCCCTAGGAGGTCAAGCATTTGTTTTGTGGCCCAGACTTGAGAATGCCTCAAGAGCTGTCTGCAGAGCAGAGCCTGTGGTTGTTTGGAAAGCAGTCCCTGGCATTTTTTATGGGACAGCAGCATTATTTGGCTGCACCAAAGTGGGTTGGGGTGGCACTGGGAACACAAAACCCCTGCTAACCACCGCCCTGGAGCACATCCATATGTGTTTGATGGCAGTGTTTCCAAATATGTCCTGACATTAAAAACTGGAAGGCAGGAGGTAGTGTGGCTGTATCATCTTTCATTTCACTGGCACTGAAGTTGTTATCTTGTGTAGGAGTTTGAATGCTCTGTTTTTGTTTTCTCTTTTAATGTCATTTCTGTGTATGACACTGACTCTCGTATCCAGCTGGGCGTTTGCAGCTGAGGCATTGATTCCTGCCATGGTAGCTGATCCTGGCTGGGAGCACCAGCTTTGAAGCCTGAGATGGGGAGAGCCCCAGGAGAGCCATGCTACTGCCTACCTGCTAGATGGAATAAGAGCTATTAGAATAGTTTGGGTATCTCCTCCTTATTTTCATTACCTGCTTGCTTTTTTTATCCTTCCCTCCAGTACCACGTTTTGGAAAACCACTCCTTTCTCTTGTCTGTAATCACACTGGTGATAGCAGGGATAGCAAATGGCAAAGGGGAGACCCTGCTCAGCCCTGACCCACAGATGTGAGTGCAGCTGAAGGGCTCTTCTAGGCCAGAAGGGCAGATCCTACTCACGAAGTTTATCCCAAGTTAGTGCCTCACCATGATCTTGGGGATTGTGGTGCGTCCCACAAGTTTCTGAGCAAAGCTGGGTTGGTTTTACTCTGCTGAGAAATGTTGCAGTAATGCAGATGGTTTGCTAAACTTTAGGGTGGGTAATGGGACATTTGTTACTCAGAATTCCCACAGCAATTCCATTTGGGTGTAGGATTGGTGGGGTTTTGCTCCAAGTTACAAGAGCACCTCAGTGCAGGTGTGGAAGCATTTGCTGCACTTCACAGGTTAATGCAGACAAGTTGATCTCTGAACATGCCCTAAAGGCAGGCAGGGAAATTCTGCTCCTACGTATGAACAAAACAGATGGAGAAGAGAATAACTCAAACAAGACAAAACAAAAAACCACAATGATCAGGGAAAAAAAAAAAAAAAAGAGTCTGTGCCAGTCTGTGTCCCTGCTGGTGTTAACTGGGAATCCTGCCCTTCTGGACGGTCTAGACAGATCAAAATACTGGGATCAAAACAGAAAGTGAGACCCAGAGTAACCATCTGAAAAGGAACCAGAGCTCAGAGTGATAATCTTCAGCCCAAGCAAGCTTTGGACTCAAACACGCTCTTGGCTGCTCGACCACTTCCTTTGAGAGTGGCCGGGCTCAGAGAAGAGTGAGACTGGAGGGTGCTGGACCCCAGGCCAAGCAGTCAAGGCAAAGATGAGAGTGCAGTGTCAGCCAGTGTGAGCTGGGGCGTCAGGGAGAAAAGTGCCATGAAAGCAGTCAGCACCCACCCTAAGTGTCACCAGAGGAGGGTTTTTATCCAGAGGGAGCAGCGACAGCAGTGCTAGCTCAGGTGCCTGTTCCATGGACAAGGAGGCAGTGTTTGAGCAGGACATGAACAGGATTTCTTCTGGAGCACAAAGGGGAGGATTGCTACACCCCAGCTGAATGTTCGTGAGCACACCATTGTGCTTCCAGGGAGCCTTGATTCATTTCAAAAGAATAAACATTAAAAGTAAAATTTCAGGCCGCTACAAGAGTGAGTTATCCCTGTGAAGGGAAGAAGTGTGTTAACAGCTAAGTGGAAAGAAAAAGCATGAAAGAATAGAGGCAAAAGAGTATCTGTGACTGGGTTCAGTTTAAAAAGTATCTGTGACTGGGTTCTGTATGTATCAAAACTCTTGCTCATGATAAAAAGTGTCTGTAGTGCTCTAATGATTTGGGAAAGACTTCAGTTACCTGGCAGTTCGTGTCCCTGGGAGCTTCCCCTTCTCCAAAGACAGACAGTGCACGAGTTCATGGCTTGCAAGTGGGATAACTGAGAGAGTGAGTGTCACCCTTAGGTCTGGGGAGAGAGGATGAGGGAGTTCTTGGACTCTGTGTCTGCTGAAAGCAGATTAATATGTTTCTATATGTGGCCATGACATATTTTATAAAAATCCTTTTGATAGTATTTTCTCCTGAGAAGCTGAGGAGCCTCAGGAAAGAAATGTAAACAATAACTATCTGCTGCTGTGGAATGCAACGAGTGCATGTTTGATCCATGTGAGATGTTTCTACTTAATGACCAATCATGGTCCAGCTGTGTGGACTCACATCCAGGCTTTGTTAAACACACCCAGGGATGGGGACTGCACCACCTCCCCGGCCAGCCATGCCAGGACTTTATCACTCTTTCTGTAAGAAACTTTTTCCCAATATCCAACCTGTATTTCCCTTGGTGCAGCTGGAGGCTGTGTGCTCTGGTTGTGTCAGTGCTGCTGGAGACAGAGCCCAGCCCCAGCTGAGCACAGGCACCTTTCTGGAGCTGTGCAGAGTGATGAGGGCACCCCTGAGTCTCCTCTTCTCCAGGCTGAGCACCCCCAGCTACATTAGCAAATGCCAGGGTGAGGACAGCTGTAGTATTGAATAACTCATAAATTGCTCCTGTTTGTACAGATTAGCTGGGATTGTGTCTAGCAGTGGGAGCCAAATGGTTTCCAAGTTCTTCCCTGCCTGCCCTGCTGTCAGCAGAACATGAGCCAGATCCCCACAGGCCCCAGGACCTGAGAATTCAAAAGCAGGAGCTGGGGCTTCTTCACTCAGCCAGAACTCCCTTCCCACGGGGGCATTGATGAGCTATTGCTATGCTGGAATCCCCCAGGCCAGTCTTTGTGCAGCAATGAGCCTGTGAACGTGGGACAATGATACACTGCGGGCTGGCCCCAATCTCCTCATCGATCTCCCCTGTGTGCCTGAACAAAGGCCCAGCCTGACACAGACAGGTGAGGGCAGCACATCTGAATAGCTTGACACGAAGCAAAATGACTGCAGCCCTATCTCTCTTTGTCAAGTGTGTGAGTGGTGTTAAACAGACAGTGAAACCTGCCTGGGCTGTAGCAGCATGGAACTCCAGGGCTTTGTTAGCTGCCTGAGGAGGGAAGGGAAAAAAAGCAGAGTGCATTTGAATGCCTTGCAGGCTCTGAACCTGGAATAGTAAGCTAGAAATAACAAGATTGCTATTATATATCATAATGGCCAAAAGCTTAGCAGGAATCAAAAAGGATTACTACTTCATAAAGTCAGAGAGAATATGAGGAGTTGTTGCTGTTTCTTGAAACAAAAGTGGATTGAGGGAGCTATAAAGACACCTGCTCAGTACATAAACAGTCCTCAAGGGATGGAAGGAGGCTTACCATTGAGAATTAGAGAATTCTACATTGCAGGATATCCCAAAAAGAGGTCATAGAATACCAGAATGGTTTGAGTTGGAAGGAAACTTAAAGCCCATCCAGTTTCAACCCACTGCCATGGGCAGGGACACCTTCCACTGTCCCAGGCTGCTCCAAGCCCCATCCAGCCTGACATTGGGCACTGCCAGGGATCCAGGGGCAGCCCCAGCTGCTCTGGGCACCCTGTGCCAGGGCCTCACCAGGTCCTTATGTGGACATCAAGATATGATGGAGGGCCAAAAAAAGTGATGTTCAAGACTTTTTTTGGCCTAAATAGCTTTTTGCACCCTGAAACTGTTCCCACAGGCACCTGACAGCATTACCACCTGCTCGTGCTCTCCTCCACTGCAGCCACTGTTTGGCCCAAGCAAAGAATTCGTGTTTCACTTTGGTGGCTGAAGGAGAAACCACCTGCTGCCCAATATTCAGCACATTAAAAATTCATTCTAGAGTGGATATTTTATTAGTTACTCCTTTTCCTAAAGAGTGACATGATTGAAACCTACACTTTCACCCAGGTTGATCCTGATTTACTCAATTATACCAACAGAGCACATGGCCAGCATCTTGCCCCCACAGTGACTTTCAGTAGCCACTGCCCCTGCTGTGCCAGGAGCTGTGCGTGATTCTGACTTTGCTCTACTCTTCTCTTTTTATTTATTGCTGACATTCACGGCCCTGGGGTCTCTAATCTCCCTTTCTCTCTCCCTCCCAGTGTCTACCAGCTCGTTGTCAAGGAGGAGAAGCTGCAGAAAGCCCGGAGAGCTGCAGACATCATCGAGTGCTTCTCTGTGCCAGTGAGCTACAAGAATGCCTCCAGTCTGGACTCCCCACACTACTTTGCAGCTGAGCTGAAGCCCATCAACCTTCCTGTCACACAGCCCTTCACCGTGGGTGACAACAAGACCTACAATGGCTACTGGAATGCTCCTCTTTCCCCCCTGAAAAGCTACAGCATATACTTCCAGGCTCTTAGCAAGGCCAATGGAGTAAGTGCAGAGAAAATTGAGCTGCATCTGTAGGTGTGACTGCCTCTCTCTGTCCTCCTCATCATTCTCCTTCCTTCTCGATTGGATGCTGGTTTAACTTCTCCTTCTTATTACCCTTTTACAGAAATCTAATGAAAATCAAGCATGCCGTTACTTGTCCTTCACTCAAATCTCTCTCTGATGCTCAGATCCAATGAGAAATCTGTTGAGGACCCTGATTCTGTAAAGGCACATCTTGCCATGTGATTTACTAAATGAGCTGCTTAGAATTTAGATACTTTTTGGGGTTTTTTTTAATCCTTCAATAAGCAAGAATGTCAGAGTAGGGGCTATTGTGCTTTTAAGAGCCATAATTGCAGTATCTTGATAGTTCACAGCGCTTGTGATTTTGGAGGAGATGTTATGAATTTGGATTACCTTGGAGCTTGCACTTGGCCATATCCTAATGCAGCCCTTGTGGTTGGGAGTTCCAGCTTGAGTAAGTCAGGTACTGCAGTGGGTACTGTCTGCATCTCTGTCCTGCCCCTCTGCAATTCTATATTTTATGTATCTTTATTCTGTGATATTTGATTTAAAATGCAGACTGCACAGGAAATGTAGCCCACCTCATTCTCAGACTCAAATGACACACACAATGCCACAACACACCCCATCCCACCACAGGAAAACAGGAGGCGTCTCTTCCCTCTTGTCTTCCAGCTGAGGATAATTTGTGACCTTTTACCTCTTCTGTTTCAGGCTAGATCCAGCCTCAGTGGATCACCTTCCTCCCCTTTGGCTCCCCAGCTGTTTTCCATTCATACAGAACACAAGAGAATTTGCCACTCTGGCCTCCTGAAGAGCCTTAGAGCATTAACAAGGCATCACAAATTTGGGTAGCAGAGTCTGCTATTATTAGCATGTTTGCCAGTGCTTTCAGAAATTTAATTTTAACACAGATAAATTCTCTACAATATCACCCCTGAGAGAGAAAAAATTACAAAAATCAGTCAAAGGTGACCAGTGCAGGCTTTAGTGGCTTTTATACCTGAAATGCAGCTGCACATTGCAGAGGACTGGGATGGTTTCACAGGCTGGTAGTGCCAACGACTGTTCACAACACATCTGAGTGCTTTGCACCCTTCATTTATCACCATTTTCCTGCAGAGTTTCAGCTGTGTGGCTGACAAGTACAAAATCTCTTCAACACTGTGCTGATTTTCACCTTGGTTTCCTTTCTAGTCAATACAGTTTCCTTCCAGCACTGCTCAATTAATTCAGTTTTGGATTTGCCTTTATAAAAGAAATTGTGAATGTATGTATATGTCTCTCTGTTTCTAGTTAGCTCCCCCATGTGTGATAGTTAATTACTAATGAATCCCCAGGGAAGAAGAAACTTTATTTGCTTAAGTACAATATAATGTTCCAGAAAGGGGAAGTGTAGGCTTCCCTTGGTGTTCTGGATTCAGGCAGCACTGGTGTTCCTGCTTTTCCTGCATCTCATCCTACATTCCAGGTGTTAAGGACTCAAAAAAGGATGACTTGCTTGGGCTGTCCTAATAGGAGGGCTTTTTAAGCAGAAGTTAATCAAATAGTCTTAATGCAACAATGCACAGTTCCTGGCAGGATGAGAAGTGTCCAGCCAGACACAGTAAACTCCTATTTGAGAAAGCAATTTCCTCCTGTGATAATAATTTATATTTCTACAGGATATGCTTTATATATCCTCAAAGTGTAGTGCTGTGGGTAAAAGTACAGAGGAAATGCCCAAGAGTGGAATATGGATCTTCAGAGGTGTAGCTTCTGTTCTGATCCCCTCTGGTTTGTGGTAAAATCATTAAGGCCCACATTTCAAACATGAAGGTCAATTTGCATTCACTCTTTTGCAGCTGTAAATAGCAGGTTTTTGCTCCATTCTCAGAATTATTTGCAGGTATCATTTGTATTTTAGAGTTTTCTGAGTTTTTACTTTTCCGTAACCTGAGCAGCTTTGACTGGTGTTGGAAAATCCTACAAATAATTATGGCTGCAACATGGCATTTCCATGCCTGGAAGTGTCCAAGGCCAGGTTGGATGGGATTTGGAGCAATCTGGGATAGTGGAAGGTGTCCCTGCCATGGCAGGGCATTGGAACTGGATGGTCTTTAAAGTCACTTCCAACCCAAACCATTCCGTGATTTTTGATAAGGCACATCTGCAAAAAACCTGCAACAATAACAATTTAGCATGGTTAAAGTAGAGCCTTATGTTCCCTCACACATGAAAAAACTTAATAGAACATTACTACTCATTTTTTAATTAGGATATTCCATAGTTTCATTAATCACTGACAGTTGTGGAAAGATGAAATTTCTTTCCACACCTGGAAGCTGCAATGAGAAGCCTTCATGCAGTGAACCAGAACATCTTCCTTTGGAAACAGAGGGCTCTGGGGAGAACTTAATTTCCAGAGAGCCTGGATTTGGTCAAAAATCTTGATTAGGAGAAGGTTAGGAGTGTTGTAGGAGTTCTGCATTGTTTGAGCTCCTCTGTACATGGAGGGTTGTGCTCATTTGGTGTTCCCGTCTGCTCTGCAGCCATTAGCTCTGATTGTTACACTGAAAGGAACATAATTAACAGCTGGATGCAAAACAAATGTGACAAATTGCTGCAGAAGCAGATCACCAGCTCTTCTGCCTTCTCTTGTGAACTGTTGTAGTTGTCTCAGAGTGTGAATGAAAAAGCTGTGGCTGGCTGGATCCATCTCCTGGGTACTTGGGGCTCTTTGGTCACTGTGGTGCTGCCTCCAGACTGGAGCCTGAGCAGAACATGGTGAGACTGAGTGGTTTTCAGCTTTGTTACACAAAATGCTTCCAAATTGTGTGAACTTCCCTCCCAGGCACCGCTAACAACCAGATGCTGAGCTGAAATGTGGCAGAGTTTGAAGTGAGAGAGGGGAGAAGGAGGAAGGGCACACAGAAATTCCAGGCTTTGTGGCTGTGGGAAGGAGAAGCACCATTAGTTATTGCTTAGTTGATAGAAGGAGTCAGCACAAGAGGAGGCACAGAAGCAGAGGGGACATTTGGCTTGGCTGTGCTCTGGCAGGATCTCCAGACACTGTCACAGCCATCCAGGTAGGGATCTGATGTTTGCTGCTTGTCCTGGTGCCACCTGCTACAGATGACTGCCTGACAGAGCATGAAGGTTTGCTTGTCATGAAGGTTTGCTTCCTGAGCTCAGCCCCTTTAAAACTCCAGCGCTACCTGTATATTTCCCTCTGAAAGTTGAGGCCAGGTTGACAGCCCCGTGTTACTCCTTATCCTTACACTGGCTCAATAATCAAACTGAGGTGCTGCAGGTTTGATTGTCCCCAGTTCTTTGTCTCTCTGCAGGTCTCTGGTTGCTGTTCCAGCACCACACCCCAATGAAGAGAATTTTTGGCCGCTGTGTGAAACCTGCCTGAATTTTTAAGCAGCTCAGAAACCAGAGCTCCTTAAAAAAAAATCCTTTCTGGAGCTGCATTGTAACTCATTGAGTTAAAATGAAATTTGTAACAGCACAGTTGCAATCAATAACTCTTGGCCATTTTTCCTTTAAATGGGAGATGAGCAGGAGCCTGTGTAACACAGCTGGGAGTGATGGGGGGATGCTGCCAGCTGCTCTGCCAGCCTGGTGGTCCAACAAGTGACTGATGTCTTCAACCCAGAATTGTGAAAAGTAGCACTGCAGGAATCAATGAGAATATTATTTTTTTGAGGGAATGATAGACTCTACCGAGATTCCTATTGATTTTTTGCCTCTCTAATGACTTGTACTACATGCACAATCGGGCAGCTCATTATTATCAGGGGAGTTGAGGCTGGATTTCTTGATGCTGACAGGTCTGCTCACAGCACACAGCATTAGTCTTCTGGGACATTTTGGAGGTATGGATAGAGCTGCCAGTAGAGAGATGCCATTCATCCCTCTGGAGATGGCCATGAAAAAAACCAGGGAGGCTGGGTTCAGAGTGAGCCGTGCTCTGAAAGATGAAATGGCACCAGGGCTACCTTCATCACTTCTGTGAGCTGCTAACCAGCTTTGGGGAGCTCTGTGTTCAGGAGGATTTTGGGTGTATAGTTTATCCACTTACATTCACTCTTTCTTAATCTCATCCTGGAGGTGCTGGTGCAGAAATAATGCAGATGTGGGATCACCTCACTCTTTGTATGCCCCTGTTTCCACATCTGGTGGACCTGAGTGTTTTCTGAATAATAAATAAAATCCTCTTCCAGCCTACCTCATTTTTGAGAGGTTAAGAAGAGTGGGTATCCAATCATCAACTACAGATTATTGACATAGCTTCCTATTGTAAATAATAAAAGCCCTAACCACTTTGTTAAACCTCCCTTCTCCAAATGACACAGATACTAAAAAAAGCTGGTAATTGGAATAGCAATAATAGGTTTGGCTTAGTCTTTGGAAGGAAATAGCAATTTCCTGAAGCTGGCAATAAAAATTATAGGAGAGTACATTGACCCTGCACAGGCATATTTTAAGACTGGCTGCAATGGGATAAAAAATAAACACACAATTTAGAGCTTTCCTGAACTTGGGCAAAATTTGTTGAGAACCAAATAAACAACTCCTTAAGGCTGGACAAACCCATGGTTTCTACCCTGTGTGAAGCAGGTTACCAACAAGTTCCATGTTCAGCTCTGGGACGTGGGGAACTAAATCCGGAACTGCGGCCAAGGGGAGAGTGGTGATTCCTTTCTGGTCCATGCACCAGCAGCAGATAAAATTGTTCCCAGTTTGAGGTGCCTAAAGAACTGTGTTGTAGGGCAGCCCCCGTGGCACTTCTGGGGGCAGCAGGTCCTGCTGGGGCTGGCAGGTGGCTCTTCAGGCAAGGCAAGCTCTGTTTGACTGCTGCAGAGTCATAATCATAGTAAAGGAAAGGGAAAATGGTGGGTGTGAAAACAGATGGATGAAAAAGCTTTGCTGCTTTCATTGTTGTTCATAGTCTGTAAACAGCAAGCTGTCAGTTTCAAAGGAAAGGGAGAAAAAAAAAAGATGATGTGGCTTTTTAGGTTGTGAAGATGCAGCTGTCACATAAACATATGTCCTGCTGCCCTCGTAGCCCTTTTCTGCAGAAAATTGTTCCCATGCAAACACTGAAGAGACAGAGTCAGAACTCATTTTGTTATCATCCATTTCACTTGAGTGAAATGTGCATTTAGGAACCTCAGTAATTAGTAGACAGCAGCAGCTCCTTTGCTTCCAAAACGAAAGAATAAAGCTATATTAAAAGAATGTTTTAAAAAGCCCTGGAAATCCAGGGGGATGCTAAAGCAGGCTCATGGTGTGCAGTTTCCAGGCTGTGGGCAGGAGCTGTGTGGGCAGAGAGGGCTTGCCCAGCTCCTCAGCACAGGACTCTCTTCAGAGGGTGCCAGGTTGTGCTGATGGTAGGTGCAGGTCCTCCCTCCAGGAACAGGCTGCCAGCACCCTGGCACACAGTGCTCAGGTGTGCCCGTGCTGTGTGGGCTTAAAAATAGAGCCAGGGCTCAGCCTTGAGTGAGGGTACTCCATAATCTTCTTTTATTCATTGGTAAATAGGTTCAAAAAAACAAATTCCCATCAATATGTTGAGATAGGCATGTGGATGAGCTTTCAGGGTATGGAGCATGTTGGGAAGTGAGGGTTGGCTCAGGAGCTGCAGGATGTAGTCATGGAGTGTTTTCCTGTTCCAGGATCTCAGTTAAAATTGTTCCATTACTGTTTGGCTGTAAAATGTCTGCCTTAACCTGGCAGTGATACGGAGCTGAAGCAGTACTGGCATCTTAATTTAATTTATTCCTGTGAGCTAAGCCATAGCATGAAACAGATATGCAGGATATGTTGGCTCTCTGGGTATCATTAGGATTGTTGTAGATATATAAGGCCTTGTAAAACTTCTGTGATATCGTAAAATGGGAAATAAGTATTGCAGCATTTGAAAGGATATTCAGAAACAACACAGAGACTGATTTTTGGGAAAATAGTTGTTTGTTTGGGTTTTTTTTCTAAAACTTCTATTACTATCTCTTTATTTAATTATTTTTCTTGTCATTGCTTTAGGCAAGCTGGATGGATCATTGATAATTACCAACACTGCTTATTCCTGCTTTGATGGTGGCTAAAGAGAAGCACCTTGCAGTGATAGGACAAGAAGCAGTGTGTACAAATTGAAAGATGGGAAATGTAGCTTAGGAAAAAAAATAAATAAAAGAATTGTCCCTGCCTATGGCACTTTAAGGTGCATTCCAACCCATTAACATTCTATGATCTTTACTGTGTACAGGAAAGTGCCTTGAAGCAAAAGTAATATTTTTCAGGAAACAAACATGATTGTGGGAAAGTGGGTTTAGTGTTTTTTGGGAGGATGATTGGGTTGGTTGGGGTTTTTTTTTAGTTGTTTTGGGGTTTTTTTTTTCCTTTTTTTTGGAGGGGGGGAAATGTATTTATTTATTCTGTTTCTTCTAAAAAAGATTCATGCAAACTTACAATTCTCAGTATCAACCAAAGAAAAACAGAGTAAATTGAAACGGATCTCATTTTTATGAGACACCAAAGAGATGAGCAGTGGAGAGCAATGGAATAATCAAGCGTAATCCAGAATATTGACTAAATTCAAGTCTTTACACTTTAGCACTGCTGGGAGCTGGTGTCTGTGCAGGTTCTTTTATGCTTTCCTTCCCAGGAGATGCAATTTGAAATGAAGTTCTGAAGTCCATGTCTCGTTCCTGTAGCTGTTGCTTTTGGCAGTGCCAGTTCTCCTAAGAGCTGTGGCTGTGCTCAGTGCATCCATCAGTGGATGCAGATGCAAACAGAACAAATTCTGTCTTCTCAAATCACCCTGTGGGAGGGTCTCTTGCAGGAATGCACACATGTTCAAATGAGATCATTCTAGACTCTTCTTTTTCCAGCACTGACTAATTTCTCCAGCTTTTTGTTACATTCTGAAGCCAGCAGAAAACAACAAATACACAAGAAAATTTTCCTCAACAAAATGTGAGCAAGTCTCCACCTACTTGTAGACTGCAAAAATCCTGTCTCTTAAATTTTTATTTTGCTCCTCATTGCTGATTTTCCAGCTCACCTTGTTGTAGATCAGAAACCACATCAGGACCTGTCTGTCTTCTGGTTCCCAGCACTATGTGCAGAGACAGCTCTGAAAGCAAATCTGAGTTTTTCCTGCTCCATGCATCCCAAGCAGCAACAAAGAGTTTGGATTTCCAGAATACTCATTACCTATGAGGTAGAGGGGAGTGGGGAGCTCTGTGTGCAGCTGTGGTGACTTTGCAGTGCCAGTGTTGGTGCAGGTTGTGCAGGGGAGCTGATTTTGGGGGGACAAAGGGGTGTAACCAGAAATGTCTCTGGTTTGCTGGGATGAACAGGGCTTCAGTCCCACTCTGGACTGGGAAATAGATGTGGTTTGTCCTCGAGGAGCCAGGAATTTCTTAAGAGAGTTTGAAGCAAGGTCAAAGGGAAGGTTTGTCCTTCTGGGTATCTCATTGTTCTCAGGCTGCACACAGTGTGGCTTAAATCCAGATTGTGTGGCATCACAGAAGGGGATCAGAGGGAGTTGCTCCTGTGATTCCCAGCATTTCCCAGCATGGATCCTGCAATCATCCCCTTCCTATGTGCAACAAAAGTGTGAGGAGAAAGGCACAGTGTGTGCCTGCTCCAGCCAAGGAGGATTTGTCACAGATGGAACAATTTTCTCCAAGAGCAAATTCAGATTTGCACAAGGTTTGTCCAGTTGTTTGAGGATGGAAGGAGGTGCTCAGCAGTGCTTTGCTGGGCTGTTGTTTCCAGAGCACAGACAGCATCCATATTAATGGAGCATTGTCAGCTCAGTAATTTATGCTGGAATCATTTCACCTGACACATGTAGAGGCATAAAGTGCTCTGCAAGCCTTGCAGCAGCTCAGTGCCTGACAGAGGCAGCTCTTTACCCAGGCAGCACATTCCCATTTGGATGGCAATCACAGGCTGGACAGCAGCAGCCCCTGCCAGGAAGGGCTGTGCAGTGAGGAGCTGGGGACGCCACAGAGGTGGTGTTTGCAGCAGAGGTGGCCTGAGAAAGCTGCAGAGTCTGAGCTGTTTGTGAAGCCAAACACAACGTTCACATCCAAATCCTGTTTCTGCAGCTCTGGAGGCTCCAGGGTGGATTGAACACAAAGCTTTGGGTTTTGTCCCAGCTCTGCAATGAGGAGCTGCAGTGGTGAGGGTTGTTAGAACAGCTCATTTGGCAGAGGCAGCAGCACAGAATGCTGGTCTGCTCCACATCCATCAGAGAGCTGAAATATTCAAATGACTTCTTCGGTGTCTGTTTGCCATGTGTTTAAATAAATACCCAATTTGCAAAATTTGTAGTAATGGTGCATGAAAATGAGATGTACAGTGGCATGTACTTTTGACCCAAGGCTTGTCAGTCTATTACTGAGCAGGTCATTTAACTGGGAAATTCTATTAGCTAATCAGGCACTTATGTGGGACCCATCACTCACACATGGAACGTGGAGAAATTTGCTGTCACTCCCAACTTTTGCACACTTAAGAGAACCAACTGCAGCCAAGTCCAGTAGTGTGGACTTATGTGTGTGTTTTGTCCAACAAAAACTGTTGGTGGTATTTTCAAAGATGAAGTGCAAGAAAAGTTATATGTATTTTCAGTAGCTTTTTAAAGGAATGTGTGTTTACTGTAGATGGGCAAATTACACACTGTGATGTTTTCCTATATATTTTTCTTGTGTTTTTTTATTTTTCAGGAAACAAAAATCAACTGTGTCCGGCTGGCAACAAAAGGTATGTGGGTCTCTCTTTCCTGCAAAACACAATACCAGAAATGTAAAAACTGCAGTGGTGGCACAACTTGATTACAGTTCCTAGCCAAAGAACCAGCCTTTTTATTTTCTCTTTTTCTTTTTTTTTTTTTTTTTTTTTAAGGAAGATTGCCAAGGCAGTACAACAATTTCCAGGACCACTCCACTATATTTGTGACTCTGTTATTTTTTTAATGCAGGGTATAATTCTCTGCCATTCCTCTTCCCCTCATTCTGTTGACAGCTTTTCTGTCCTGAGGACTGTTCTTGCTGTTGGCAGAACATCACTGAAAAAGTGACATTACCTTCCCATTCAATTTGTTCTCTCCACAACTGTACAAAGTAGATAAGAGGAGATCTCGTGTAAGCCTAACCTTGTACACAGCGGGGCACAATTCTTACATCATGCCATTTTCATGGTATAATTGAACAAACATTCCTGATTTTCACTGTGGTGAGCTCAGAACAGACCGGGCTGACAGGTCACACAGAGCAAACCCAAGGCAAACAGCCCCAGGTTGGTTCACAAGGTGCAGCTCCTGAGGGACCAACAGTGACAATGTCTGAGCTCCTTCTAAGAGTTTACAGCTGCTTTTAACAACTCTTCTAAAGATTTCAAAATCACCCCAGGGGCTACTTTTCCAGAAAAGATGTCAGACACCAATTTATTTGTAACACAGAGTAGCTGTAAAAAGATTTCCCCACCACATGTTGTAGTCTGCCAAGGAGCTGTAGGGAAGTGCTGGGGTGCTGCCATGGGCTGTGCTACAGATGACTCTCCATTCCCAGACTTAGCTTTGCCAGCTTGTGCTCTTGCTGCTTTTCTGAAATGTGAAATACCTGCATGGCTGCCTGTGGAGGCTTTGAGAGTTCCCCAAAATTGGCAGGAGCCCAGAAATCCTTTGAGGCACCATCCCATTTTTTCCATTCTTTTCCATCTGTTTTGATTTGTGGCAGAAATTAATGACCTCAAGGTCCTTTCTCCGGAACTCTTCTGCATCTGCACTTGCAGAGGAGTTGTGAGGGCTCAAAGAAACTCCATTAGCCACTGGAGAGCATTTTTCATCTCCCTGTGGAGACATTCCCAGGCTGTCCCAGCCAGCCAGACTGGTGTGGCAGTGACTGTGCAGCTCTTTTTCCTGCTCAGACTCAGTAATGCAGACTGGTGGGGCTGTAAGCAGTTGTGTCACCACTGAAAGTTGAGGAGGAGGAGCCATTTCTCCCATTTCTCCTTCTCATCTGTGGCTGTGGTGTCTCCATACCCTCTTGTTCCTTTCCTGTTTAAAAGCTCCTTGTAAAATAATAGTTTAATTCATTCTCTGGGTTACAAACATTCTGTGTGTCTCAGTCTCTGTGTCTCCTTCCTCTCAGTTCTCTCAGTTGGTAGTGATGTGGCCATTTCAAGTACCTGATTTTGGCTTTCTGGTGGTGGAGAGAACAAGAGCAGGACTGGGTGAAATGAATCCTCACAAGCTTTTCCAATAGCATAGTCTCCTCATGAGATCTGAGATACTGAATTAATTAATTTTTGGAAACCAGTAGTTCCTTCTATTTCAGTTGTTCATTTTTCTGGACTGGGGGAAGAATGTTGTCATGCTAGCAGGAAAGATATTTGCTCTGTGAGTATTCAAAAGAAAATAACTTACACAGCTTGAAAAATCCCATTCTGACATGACCTTTTGTTTGCACTCTCTGATTTGGGTACCTCAGCAAAGTGTCCTGTAAGTGTTTGACCTTCAGTTGACTTCTGCAAACTGAGATAATTTCCATTAAACCTGTTGGGTCACCAGGAAGAGTCACTGAGCCACCCAGTCAGTGAGCCCCCTCCTTCTGTTGGTTCTGAATGTCATCTCTTTTTAGAAAAGAATCTCTTGCTAGGATTAATTTAATAAGAGATAAAAAAGAGGTGGGTAGAGCCTGAAGATGTCTAGAACCACTGCTTTTTGGTGATCTTATTCTTTAGTTTTTTTTTTTCTTTATTGACTTGAATGGAAAAGGACAAGAAATGATGGTAGTACTAGTGTTTATTCTCGCTGTCTCAATTCATATCACTTTTGATTTATATCACTTTTGGTTCATATCACTTTTGATTTATAGGTAGATATCTTATTCTTCTGTATGCAGTGCAGAAATCTCTGTGAAAATTCTTTTCCTCTTGCCCTGGCTCTGAATTGCAATACTGTAATTCCCAGTGCCTGGCCTGCAGTACGGAGCTGGAATTCCTGGAATTGTGGCAGGTTTAGGTCTCCAAAGGAGCAGGGCTGGGTGCAGTTCACAGGCAAGGGAGCACCACGAGCTGGGCTGTTGGTAACATCACAGCAGCTGCCACAGCTACAGCTGAACAAAGTGGTTCTGTGAGCTTTCCCACAGTTTCAGGTTTCCATGTGTCCTGAGGCTGCATTCCCACCATACATAAATTCCATATGGATAACGGGACCGGCCCCTGGAGAGGGATGTTGTACCTGCTCTGCAGTGGGGAATGCACAGAGACACTCACAAAACTGTAATTACACCATGTCCTGATCAAAGGCTGATAGCTGGAATGTTCTAGATAACCTCCTGTGTCTGTGCTGTCTTCTGTCTGCTCATTATATTGATTATCCTTAATGGCATTGCTCTGTATTCCCCTTCATTTCCATTGGTGTTTTTCTGAGGATGGAATGAGCAAACCCGAAGTCTGCCTTGAACAGAATCATCAGAGCTGCCAGTGAGGATGCAACTGTGGTGACTTTGATAAGAATCAGGGGAAAAAAGAAACCCTGTTTTGGTGTCAGGCTCAGTCTCAGCATTAAAAGCTCTGCTTAAGTTGGTACCAGAGGGGGGGAAAAAATTTGATTTGATGCAAGAACATAAATAAATACTACTGGTGCCAGACTAAATGTTCATTTCAGAATAGAGGCCTAATTTTCCCATTCCTAGACATTTGTCAGTGCAGCAGCTCCATTAGCAGCAGTGAAACGAGTTCTGATTTACACCAGTGACAGGAAGATTAGGATCGAGGCGTGTTTAAGCAAGGCAAGAATTCTCTTGAAGTACTGGATTAACAAGGGCACTAAACGTGAGTGTGGGAGTAATTAGGCAGTGAAATGTGTTAGGCATGTGTTACTGGGGGATTGTAACACATCCTGGGTGTTGCTGCAAGGCACCTGCTCAGAAGCTGAGTCTCTTTAATTACTCGAGAGACGCACGGGGCTGCTCCACCGCCTCTGCTCCAGCTGGCTGCCAGGGAGTTTGCTCTCTGTGTCCCACTGCCCCAACACCAAGAAAAGCAAAGCAGAGCCACTTTAAAAATGGTTTAGTCCACTAAAAAAAAAAAAAAAAAAAAAAAAAAGAGCTTTGGAGCTTTCCCAGTTTTCTTCCCTCCTCTTCAGCCAGAAATAGGCTGCTCAGATGAGCCCTTTTCAGTTCAGCCCAGCTCTGTGCCGGAGCTGCTTCCCAGCTCTCTGGTGGTGCTCCCTCTTCATGGTTCTCTGTGTGCTGCTCCTGCTTAGATGAACTTGATTCTCGTGATGGCAAGAAAAGGTTCTCAAATCCTTTTGTATTGGGTTGTTAAATGTTGGGAGGAGGGGGTGGCATCAGCAGTTCAGAGCAGCAGGTCCTCCAAAGCAGAGCCAGTGGGTTCCCAGCTGGGCCAGCTGATTTCCCTCCATCCAGTGCCTCCACGAGAGGCTGGGTGCTGCCTGTGGGAAGGGCCAGAGGCAGGGACTCACCATCAGCCCTTGCTGGGGTGACCTTGAATGATCCATCAGAAAGCTCCCTGTGTTCCTCCACTCTGTGTAGCCATCTCACACTTTGCCAGCATGTTAAACATTATGAACCTTTTGTATCTACGTATGTTATTTATTTTCAGATTCGTTGGTCTCAGATCTCTTGCCACTTCCCTCCTCACATGGGCTATTCTTTGTTTTTTTGTTTTAATTACTGGACTAATGTTATCTTTCACAGCATTAGACACTTGGATACATCTCATTAACATAAAACAGTCTTTAAAAATGTTTATAATTAAACCCCAATTTACCAGCTCTCTGCCATACAATTTTCATTCAGATGGGTTATTTATAGGTTTTGCCATTTGGTTTCCTTGACAGCATTTGTTTTAATATGTCCCATTCTTTCTGAATTAACTGACTTGTTCTCCCTGTCTTAAAGCAACATATTTATATCGACACTTTATTAGAGAAAATTGCAACCTTTTACCAAGAGAGAGCGATTACCTCTTGTATTCCTAAAGTGCATTAAATTAATTTCACAGTGTAATTGAAACCAAGGCAGAGGGCTCATTAATGGTTCCTTATCTCCCGATACTCATTTCTTCTTTCCTTAAAATGTGAGTTCTTGCAAATGAAAGAATGGAACTATAATAACCATTATGAGGTACATTTTTATTTTTTTTCCTTTTTTTTTGTCTCGTGCATGCTGCCTGGGAACCATTTTGCTTGTTCTTAGCAGTGATAGGTAGACAACAGGTGACCACGCGAAACCCGCCCAGCCTCTTGAGCACAGGTGATTATCAGTTCAGAAAAAGGAAACATGGTCAGACTTCCAGAGGTCTGAGGAGCTTTGTGACTTCTTGTTTAATACTTGCTTTGCATGAGAAAATACTTTTACAATTGCTCCAACTAGAGTATGAAGGAGGGCAGTGCTTTCATGGCACTCCTTCAGTGCCAAGGTGGAGATCTGTCTGTGCTGAGGGTCAGCTGAGGGCTCAACACCTCTTAAATCTTCACAGCAGCACCTGAGTGTGATGGCAGAGCCCCATGGATCCCCTGAGTGTGCATGGAGCTGAGCTTGCATTTCCAGTTAAAGGAGCTGTGCCATTTTCTGGGGCTGATTATTGTGTATATTCATAGACAGCTGAGTCCTGCTGTTGGAGAAATGGCACCAAGAAAAGGAAAATTTGATTCTGTAAGCTCTCTGTAGAGGAACAGAGGAACTATAGAAACTGTAGTTTCTATAGAAACTTCTGCTGGAGCCAGAGATGCTGCAGAATTGAGCCTCAGCAGCACCAAGTCACAGTGGGGAGGTTCAGAACCTCTCAAGGGGTTTGCAGTTTCCATCAGAAGGAACTTGGAGGTCTGTGTGCCATAAAGTTGCCCCAGCATTTGCAACACTGGGACCAGGATCATCATTAACTCCAGAAAATTTAAATATGGAGGGGAGATCCCATCAGCTTGTGGAATTAAGTTCTTCTACTTCAGCTTGATGTGCACAGAATGAGTGGCTGGGATGTGGCAGTATTACATGAGATTAATGGGAAAGGAGGGTTGCTTTTTCCGTTTTTAGATTACATTACTCTAGGAACACTCCCCTCCCAGTGCTGTATGGTTGTTCCTGCCTAGTTATGACTTCCTCACCCAACAATTATTTCAGCTGCACATCAGCTGTGATGATACAGGGGCAGGAAGGTGCTGGAATTACTGGGAAGTTCAAATGGTCCTGATTTTTGGTAGTGCATCAGCATGGGAAGAAGGAAACTTCCTGGGAGAATGTTGAAATCTCAATAAAGAACCTGGGTCTGAAATGTGACCAGGGAAATCTTGGGCTGGTGGGGGAGGGGGGGTGGTGACTGCAAAATAATCAGTGGAAAATGAGGGAGGAAAAAGTTCCTGTTGTTCCCACACAATTTTGCTGCACGTGAAAACTGTTGATTTAATAACTCCTGCTTCCTCAAACCCATTTGAAGAGGCTTCTTTTGTTTCCTGGAATACATTCTGGTTTTGTAGACAGATAATGTATTTTTTAAACAGATCTAATCCCACTTCAAATCTGTTTGTTGCTGCATTTTGTCTTCTAATACACTGGAATATTATTCCTTTGACAGGTTTATTCTGTTTGGTGCTGTTTATTTCAGAGGAGTTTATCACACTTTTTAAGTTGAATGCGTGAAAATGGTTGGTTGGGTTTTTTTTCCCCCTGAACAAATTTCTGCCTTCTAAAAGTTATTTTTTAGCACAAGTTTCGTGCACCACAATCCCTTTAGGGGCTTCCTTATCCCAGGGCACAGCTTTGAATTAGTGCAGAACCTGGTGCAGAATGGGATGAGGTCAGGAGTGAACTGAATTTGGTATCTCCAGCCTTGTGTCCAGAGGTCATTATCTACTCCAGAGCTCTGCTGCATTGCCAAACTCTAATCCTGGGCTCCCCAATTAAAATTGGCAGCTGGAAGTAATAGGAGAAGAAGCACAGTGTTTAAGATAAAATTTGAGATAGTTTAGCAACAGGAGACTGTGAAAACATCACCTTTGTAATTCAAAGCATCCACTGCCAGGACACAAGTAGCTTCAGGAGAGAAAGGTCTTTGGAGAAACGAAAATAAAATATATTATAGCTGTGTGATGTCGCCCTGATTTTGTAAGACTTTGTTAAGCCTTCTGATGTTTGTATTCTTTCAACAAACTTTCTCACACACAGTTCTGTAAATAACCTATGTTTTGCATTCTTTCATGGAGGTGGAGAGAATTGATGGACCCTTGGTCTGTCCAGTGGCATTGGAGAGGTGGCACTGTCACCCTCCAATCCACTGTCACCTTTGGAAAACTATAAATGTTAGAGTCAGAAAATAAAGTTCCTCTTCTTCTTCCTTTTTGCTCCCCTCGAGAGCAGCAGTGTCTGTGTCATCATTTCGTGCCGTATCACAACAGTGTGAGCCAAGGCCTCCAGGAACCAAAGCAGACAAGGATTTACCTGGAGCAGTGTGGATGTTCTTGTCCCTTTTGAAGTCCCACCTGGTGGGACAGGATGCTCTTGGCCGTGTGCTGTGGCTGGCCCTGAGCCAGTGTACATTCACCTTTGTTTGCAGATAAACTGGTAGCCAGATAAAGGAGTGGAAACTGAAACAAGTCGGTAGTTGGACATGAAAGCCACAAGTGAAGGTCAAATTAATAAAAGGTTTCCTTTGGTTTTGTTTTACTTAGTTTGAATGCATCAGGCAGCATTGGGTGATTCCTCGCTTAGGAAATGTAGCAGCTTGTTTTTCATCTCTTCTGCTTGAAAATTTGCAGGAAGAGCTCTTTTGGAATGTCCCTTGGAGCCTCTTCTGCACAGGGGCTGAGGAGGGGGCAGGCAGGAGGGGACTCTCATGTTTTAGAAGGCAGTGGGGTTTCATGTTCCTGACCCTCACACCAACTCATTTGGGTGATCAGGATTTTGTCTCCATTTCCTGAATCCTGCAGATCCTTTCTAAGGTGGGTCAGCCACTGGGAAGGTACTGCAGATCACATAAAACAATTTTCATAAATAGATCATTATTGTCAGTGAGAAGAATGACAGATTTGTCTTTACAAACAAGCTGTGGGTCTGCTGGTAGATAAAACTAGCACTGAGAGACAAAAGAAACAATGGGAAGGATTCTACTGATTGATGAATGGAAAAAGATATTTGCCTTTACAAACAAACTGTAGGTTTGCTGATAATGAAATTGGATATTGAAAGATGAAAGAAACAATAGGAAAAACCCCTAAATTTCATAAGAATTAAAAATTAAAAAGGAGAGTTATCCATTAGAGAGAAATCTTCATTATCAGGTGTTCTGGGAAGTCTGAACCTCTCAAGTACCTCAGCCAATGGGGAAAGAGAGAGACCCCAGGGGAATGCCCCATGGCCTCTCTCTTTATTCCAGTAAAGTAAAAGGACTTCTCTGTCTCCTTTTTGGACATAAACCTCTGATGGTTGTGGATTAATTTTCCTGACATCAGCATCCTTTAACAACACTTCCAAAGGCATGACAGACCCAGGACTGTTACAAACACATGATGTCTGATTCCTTAAATAGGTTTTTTGGTAAGCCAGTATTCAGAAACAGGGTTGATATTAACAAGCTTTTGAGCTTCTTCCAGGAGCTGGACATTAAAAACTATATGGTTGCATTAGGATATCCGATCAAATTACAGGGTAGGTGTGAGGCTGTTTTGTATTGTTGTTGTAGAGGAAAAGGGAAATCTTCATTCCAGTCTTGCCTGAAAGTGCTGCTTCAACTTGGCAGAGCACAGGAAGTGTCCTGGTGTTCATGCAGCACACGTAGAGTGTGTGTACACAGACTCCTGGTGCTGCCCAGCTGAGTCCCCTTAGCTGGAAGAGAGATTCCTGCTCTCCATGCTGCTCACTGGGCTCGGGGTGCAGCCTCTCAGGGCGGGTGTTTGTAGGTCACCCTGGCACCTGGGGCACCTTCATCCACTTGGGCTCATAACTGACTTTATTTCAGTGTTCACTTTGGGCCCACCCCTGGGCTTTGCTCACTGGTTTTGCAGCTTCTGCAGCTGCTGTGGGTGTGGATTTTTCATGGAAATCATGATGAGAGCAGGGTAACTACTTAGAGGGGGCTGACTGGGGAAAAAGTCAGTAATTGTGGTGGATCTCTTATATATCCATAACATTGTCAGGCACTGAGAAGTTTTTGCCTCTTATCAGTCAAAATGTTGACCTCCCTGTGTCTAAGACTTCACAAAAATTAAGTTACATCTGTAAATTTGAACTTGTCATATTAGTAATTGTACTTGTTTTCCATTTCTATAATTTTGAGCTAGTTTTTAAATACAGTTCTGCAAAAATGAAGAGTTAAAACAGAAACAAGCTCTCACCCTCTGAACCATCACATCACTTGTTGGCATCACAGCAGCTTTCTGTAGCTGAGCTCCTCTTTCAGGGAAATGTTTTAACCTTTCTTATTCTTGGGGACCATATATCTGCTTCTAGCACAAATTAAGGGCTCCTGTTCTGAAGAGAGAGGAGGAAAAAAGAATAGCCTTTGTGCTGGATTTGCCTGGAATCTCCAGAATCAATTATTCACTTGCAGCTATTTTTTAATTCTCATTCAGCTTAGCAATGCTGATCTTGATGTCTCACTGTGTGTTTACCCTCATCCTCCTCCAGATTCCACCTGTAAGCCTGAAAATCCCTCATACAAATTCTGGTCTGTCTTTCTCTCCAGGACTGCTTTGTTTTGCTGCTCTCTCTGCTCAGAATATGGTTGAAAGCTTTTGGCTCTCATCATTCTGTCAATCCTTTTGAGCTTTGTTAAAGAAATGAGTGTGTCTCATTATAGTCTTAAGCCTGTGCTGTTTGCAGTCTTCAATAACTGGAGGTGGAAAATTGATGTGGTGACGTTGTGTGTGGTGATCCTCTTTGTGATATCTGTTTTTTAATGAATTGCAACAAAGAAATAGCCAAAGAGGAATCTGCCTTTCAGATGTGATGAGCTGTTCCACTCTGTTGGCTCATGGTACATGGAGGCACCAGGAACATGCACAGATTGGTTTTAGTGCTAATAAACTGCTGGAGGGTGTGGTGAGCTGACACCATGGGCTGGTGATGGTGTTTCCACATCAGGATGTAAAAAGCTGCCTTTCTACCTTTATCTCAGTGTTATCACTCCTGGAGGTACCTGTCTGCCCTTGTGTTTGCACTCCAGACTGTGTTTTACAGATATAGATATTATCAGGAACTGAAAACATGAAGGAAAACGTTCCTGCATGCAGAGCTGCTTTAATAATTTGTAGGCCACTCACATAGAAAGCACCATAAAAAAATAAATAAAGGAAATCGTGTTTACAAGTGATTTGAGAATAGCTGTCTTTTGAATACAAGCCTCTGGGTCTATTAGGAGATTTTACATTCAGCCCACTGCCTGGCCATTATGTGCTGCAAAGAAATTACTCTGATTGTGCAGATCATTTCAACACATAATGACTGGGAGCCCAATATTTTTCATTAATTTTTCTGGATTAAATAATGCTCTTAAGTAATTTTTCTGATTGTTTTTTGTTCCAAGAGCGGATTTCTTTCTGAAGAAGCTGTGTTCTTAGGTACTACAATTTTGAAACCAAACCTCATCATTGCCAGACTTGTCCCCTTGCTGGGTCTTTCCCGTCTCCTGGAGGTGGCTGAACCTCCCATTTCTTGTGTTGCTTCTCTCCTTCACACTTGCACTGCCCTTTCCTGGACTCTAAATATTTGACCCAGATGTCCTTAGAATAGTTTTATTTTATTTTTTTTCTTCTCCTGTTAACCCTTGGGATACTTCTCTCTCCAGAGTCTTGGCTACTGGTGATTGTGATGCCCCTTCCACTGCAGGACTTTGTGTCTCACCAGCTGGAATTCTCACATAAATACCTGACGTTTCCTCCTGCTTATGGCTCTCTTGAATTCTTTTTCCTGGCAGTGTCATTTTTTTTTAAATGCAATATTGTAATTGCTGCCTGAAATAAAGAATGTTTCAAATTGCAGCTTGCGAAATAGGTTTTATGGAACAAACTTGTATTATCAGCCCTGCTTAGTTACATGCACTCAGTAATCATTCTTTCCTGGATGTTTTTCAGAGTGCCACCTCCACAGAGGAGGTTGCTTTATATTTTGTGGCTTATTTTCAAATAATATACCTGTGCAGAAATCTGGGAGAGAGATTGCCATGGTATCTTTCCCTTAGATGCCACAGCTGGTTTTCCCCCAGAGGGCACTGCCCAGGCTCCCCAGGGAATGGGCACAGCCCCGAGGCTGCCAGAGCTCCAGGAGAGTTTGAGCACCACTCCCAGGGATGCCCAGGGTGGGGTTGTTGGGGGGTCTGTGCAGGGCCAGGAGCTGGGCTTGAGGATCCTGATGTGCCTCACCCAGCTCAGCATATTCTGTCATTCTATGAATCAACAGCAGCATGGCCAGATTAGACCTTAATTAAAACCTTAATTAAACCATCAGTGTGTGATGATCCAGAAACCTGACTTCTCATGGGCTGATGAGCTGGACAGCTCTGGGAAATTGGCCATTTGCGCCTGCCCTGCTCTCTTTGCATCTCTGCAGCATCACCAGGACTGTATTTCCCATGAATGTGCTCCCTGTACTGTCCTCTGGCTCACTGCAAGATGCTGGATCTGGGAATTTTGGAAGGGATCAAAGAGAAACAAAGTCAATTGGGTTGCTAGGAAAGAAGAAAAATGTTGAAATAGCTCTGACTGACCAGTTGAGTGCTGGGTGAGTGTCAGTGCCTGTGAAAGGCAGAGTCAGGCCACTGCTCTGGCTCCTGGGATGGTGCATTTTGTGCACCACAGAAATGATATCTGTGAGAGCAGTAGCCTGGTGGAGTAGATCAGGCACAGACAGGGAGTCAGGGGACCTACAGTCTTCATTCCTCTGGCACTGCCTGCTGTCATTTGCCTTTCTTATTAAGAAAGCAAGCTTAGGGCAGAAAATTGTCCTAGTTTGTGTTAGTGCAGAGTAATGGGGTCCTGACCTCCGTGGGGGCTTTGGGTGCCACTGAAATACACACACTAATAACAGTGGTGACCTGCTCTGTGTCTTACTATTCCAGCATCCAGCTCCTGTTACAAGGAACAATTCATTCCAGGAAATGTGATGGAAGTAACCACTAGAAAATACAGTCATATTTTGTTTTCATTCCTTTTTAATGCCAGCAATATATAAACATGGTTTTTCAGAAAGAAAAGGGTGGCCCCTCAAGTACAGCAGTGCAGAGATTTGCAAGTGTGTTTAAAGATATTTGTAGGAAATGGCCATCTGAGCAGTTTTTATGGGCTGCTGTGCTCAGAGGATTTCAGATCCTGCATCTGTATAACGGAGAGAAGCAAAAGTGAATTCCAAAACAGCGTTTCTGTCAGGAGCAGCAGAAGTCATGTCCAGAGAAACGGCTCACAGAGCTCCTCCTGCCAGGGCAGGAATGTTCTTACCTACAGCTGGTGCTGGGGCAGGTGGGAAACGAGAGCAGCCAGAGGAGATTTAGGTATCTGAATGGAAAATATGCCAGAACAGCAGGAGAACAATGGCCTTTTGCAGTAATGTTTCACTGCAAGGCTTTGAGAATCCCAGAGCCAGGAATTTGCTGACACTGTCATATTCTCCATTCCTAGGCACTATTAGCTGAGACAACTTAAAATTGGTTGGGCTGGTAGCCTAAAGGAATTGCTGGCCTTTGCCAAGAGAGATGAAGTTGCCCAGAAGATTGGAGAGAATCAGTCACCACAGAGTGGAGGTGTCAGGATGGATAATGAGCCTTTTTTCTCCTCCTGGAACTGCAGGAGCCTGCAGTGGGGTGGGAAATATCAGATAAAAACACTCTGACCACACATTTCCTGGAGTAACGAGCAGCAGCCTGGCAAAATCAAACCAATCTGGTGGGTCAGAAGATGGAGTTGACAGCACATTCTTATTTCTTCTAACACAGCTCACACTTCATGAGGGTATTCAGATGGTACAAAAATGAGGGGCATCTGACTGTGCTGTTTATAGGAGAAAACCATTCTCCAACACCTATTATTTAGGGTCATAAGAGTAACTGCAGCTCAGCTGAAGGATAATTTGGAGTACTTCTGACTTTCACTTCAATGAATAGAGTTTTAGCCATTTTCAGGGAGAAATTGTACCTTTCTCATTGCCTTTGTTGTGTGACAGTGTGGGGATTGCCTGTCTGATGGTGTATAGCTCACCTCTTGCACACATTTACTGTAGGATTGTGGGAGAGCTTGTCAAATAAAGATGGAAATATGCAAGTGATCCGTTATTTTATTCTCATGCTCAGGAGCCCCATTAATGCATTTCAGACCTGTGAGCACAGAAGTTATCAGTGAACTCTTAACTGAATGGGCAAATTGGTGAATGCAGCAGAATAGTAGAGTAGTCAGGGGCAAAAGCTGAAAATGATACGTGTGATTCCAAGAGCCAGCCCTTTTTGCTTGGTAAATTTAGTGTTTTGCTCTGAGTAAACTAGATTAACAGCTTAGCTGTAGGAGAAGTGAAATCATGCTTTTATCACTGCATCATCTCTTAAAACACGTGCAGTTTAACGTGTGGCAAAAGGCAAAACAACACCCCAGTGACAATAACACTGCTCTCTCACCAACACATGGACTTGACTGAATATTATCTCCTCAAACAAGTGACTTTGAACAGAAGTGATTCAGATTTCCTGAAGATCAGCAGCACAGAGCTGTTAAAAGAGCAAAACGTTAGAGATGGCAGCCCTCTGTGTTCACCTTTGATTCCCTTTCCCTATGTTTAAGCTGCAGAGGAAGACCTGGCTGACTGCAGCAGCAAAGGTGAAGCCCAAGATAAGAGTGGATCTCATGTAACACGAATTCATTTAACTTTGTGAACTGCAGTGGTGATATTTTTAGAAGTGGTTAAGTGTAACAGGAATATAATGAAGATAGGCTTATTTAGTCTTTAGAGTCGCCATGAGTCAAATCTTGTGGGGCTTTCTAAATCAAGCTCAGTGGCTTAAGCTATATCTGGAAATATTCTGTGCAGCAAGCAGTGAAGTCAGCGGAGCTGAGGTCTGTAATGAGGACTAATGAGGTCTCAGCAATAGGGTAGAGGGCAGCTGTCTCCAAGGTGCTCAGTTAGAGCAGAAATGCTGCACAAATAAGATTCTAAATAAGTTTTATTTTAGGTGTGTAGATTTCACTTGTTAAAAAAACCAAACAAACAAACCAAAACCCCCTAAAATTTCAAATAGAAATTACGCTCTCTGCTGTGGGCTGAAGAAGTCATGCCTGGTGTGTGATGATAAAGGGTGCTGAGGCACTGGAATTGGTTGTCCAGAGAAGCTGTGGCTGCCCCACCCCTGGAAGTGTCCAAGGCCAGGCTGGATGGAGCTCCAAGGTTCAGCCTGGTCTAGTGGAAGGCGTCCCTGCCCATGGCAGAGGGCTGGAATGAGATGGGCTTTAAGGTCCCTTCCAGCATGATTCTGTGTGGAGAGTGCTGCTCTATATGCTGGATTAATGCTTGATACATGTTTATCTGTAATGGGATGTTTAAAAAAGCCAGGCCTCCAATACACTGAGAAAGACAAATGTGAGCTGATTTTGGAGGAAAAAAGTTTCTGCCAGAAGTATTATTATAATTACATGTTAGTGTGTTCACTATTTCCATGAGTAAGGATTTCAAGTCCATTTAAACTATTTGAGATTAAAATTAGAACTGTTGTTCTCCTGTTTCTGGGTGCATGCTGAGTGCTTCAGAAGAGTAAATGCCCCATTACAGTAAAACTTAGTAAAATTTTAGAGTCATTTGCACTACACTGGGATTTTACACCCTATTACTGCTCTGAATTATCTGTCATTAGCCCTCATTAAAGGCAGATTTGGTTAGATGGACAATTGTCTATTGCAATTTGATTGCAAATATGTTGTTAGGCTTTCAAATGAATATTTAAAGTGGATCATTGCACAGTTTGCCTAGAAATTCTTTTTTTTTTTTTATCTTGTCCTTCCTCTCCCTCCATCTTTTAAGGAGCTTCCACCCAGAATTCCAATGCAGTGGAACCTGAGAAGCAAGTTGACAGCACGGTGAAAATGGCTGGAGTTATAGCTGGTCTCCTGATGTTTGTTATTATCCTCTTGGGAGCAATGCTTACCATCAAAAGAAGGTAAGTTTCTGCTTTGCTTCCATCTTGGACGTCTTGTTGTAATTTCCAAAGGAAGAATAAATAAAGATAGAGCATTCTTTCTGTGTGACAGAGAGCAGCAGTTAATGCCTGTGTAATAACACAGACACTAGGGGTGGTAGGCCCAGAAGAAATACCAGTTCTGGGAGATCCAGCAATAAAAGAATGGTTGTTACTGCAAGGAGATAATGGTAATTAATTGATAATTAATGTCAAGGGATAAGTCACAAAGTAGCATGGGATACAGGGGATAAAAGGAGAACCTCTCCTACCAGGAAAGGCTGAGAGACTTGGGATTGTTCAGTATGGGAAAGAGAAGGTTTTGAGTGACCCAATCGTGGTCAAATGACTCCAAACCATTTAGAAAGATGGAGAGAGACAGCTCACAAGGGGCTGGAGTGACAGGACAGGGAATGGCTTCAAGCTGACAGAGAGGAGAGTTAGACTGGATGTTAGGAAGAAATTCTTCCCTGTGAGAGAGGTGAGGCCTGGCACAGGGTGCCCAGAGAAGCTGTGGCTGCTTCATCCCAACCTTTTTTCCAACACTTGAGTTTTCTGATGCTTTGGCTGTCATGACTGCTACAACCTAAGTTATTATCTCCCAGACAACACAGACAAACCCCCAAGCAAAATTACTCTAATGCAGAATGAGTCCCAGAGGTGGGACACTGAGGATCCATTTGCTCTGTGTGAAAGTTGCCAAGCTCCTGCTGAGCTGAGCTGGCCCCTGACACACCTTCAGCTGGACTTGCCAGGTCCCTGGAGCAGCAGTGTCTGGTGAATTTGGGTGTGATGTCCCACGCACAGAACTTTGCTTCAGCTGGTTTTGCCATAGGCTCTGTAAACCTGGGCAATTTTCTTCAAAGTTAACATTGGAAAGGAGGTGAGTGGGAGTATTAGAAATCTAAATTCTCCCCTTTTTTCCCTAGAGCTGGAAAATTACACTTTCCTCTGTGTTGTTTCCACAGCCCCTCCCGGGGCAGACAAGCAGAATCCCTGCAGTCTGTGTCTGTTTGCTGCAATTTGCAAGGATACCTGCTGGAAGACACACTGAAATAAGGAATAAACTGGCTCATTGACTTTAAAATCTTTTCCCATTTAGAAGCTCTGAGTGCAGGAGGAGGTTTGGGAGGCTGTAGCCCATCCAGCACCTCCAGAGCTGCTGATCACATCCCTTCTGGGCTCCCTTGGATGGGCACCACCAGCCACGTCCAGCTGGGGCTCGGAGCTGCATATGGACAAGTGTTCCCTGAGGATGAACCTGAGCCTGTCAGGCTCGTTGCATTTGTAAACTAGTGTGGGTTGGGACCAGCTTTCATAAAAGGAGAAGCTGATTTGGACCACAAATTGATTGGAACTTCTGGAGGAGCAGAGCTGAAAGCTTGAGCTCTTCTGAGAGAGCAGTTTAAAAACAGAGTTATCTTTTTGTTTTGCAAACAGGAGCATTTGGAGCTTAAGTTCTTGCATTGCATTTTGCACTAGCCTCATTTAAAAAACAGTTCCCTTCCCAGTGCACCAGGGCCTTGGTGTACAAATAGCGTAGCCTTGCAAGGCAACAATTCAGAAAAATAATTTAATGAGCTGAACTTGAAATGTCTTCAAATGGAGATGGAAAATATCCCAATGACATTTGTCCATTGTCCAGGGCATCACAGTTCATTAGGAACAGGCACAGGAATTCCTGGATGAAGCATTTTATTAACAGAGAGCAGAGGAAGCAGAGAGGGATTAGAAGAGAAGGAAGACACAGGTTTGAGATAAACCTGGGTGTCATCGGGAACCTCTTTTTGTTCCTGTGGATCTCACCAGATTGGCAGCACGCTGCTTGGAACCTTCCAGACACAGAGCATGAGCAAGCAGTGCTCAGCTGCTCACAGTTTCAGCAGAACAAATTGCAAAATTCCAGGAACTCAAAACTTTCAGGGGGTTGATAAAATTTTAGAAGGTTCAGTCAGATGTGTGAAGCTAAATTGAGCCAACAAGTGTATTTATACAGTGGAAAATTTTTAATGTTATATTCATTGTCTGAAAGTTTTCGTTGCAACTTGTGGTTGTCTAAAATTTGCTAAAGTTTCCTTATCTATATATCTATGTCAAAATTATGTGTACATATAAATTTCTGTTTTAAACATGACTGTTTGCAGTATTTTAAATCAAAACCATTAACAGTTTATTTTCTTGATTTTGGGAACCCACTAACTCCAGGAGTTAAGCCATAGTATCATCGTTACATGTATATGAAATATAAAAATTGCTGCAACATAACAGAGAGAAACTTCACACAAGGAGATGTCCTGTTCATACAGGCTTCAAACTGAGAGAGATTAAATTTAAATTGGATATCAGGAAGAAATTCTTCACTCTGAATGTGGACAGCCCTGGCACAGGGTGCCCAGAGAAGCTGTGGCTGTCCCTGGATCCCTGGCAGTGCCCAAGGCCAAGTTGGACAGGACTTGGAGCAGCCTGGGACAGTGGAAGGTGTCCATGCCCATAACAGGGGTTTGGAATAATCTTTAAGGTCCATTCCAACCCAAACCACTCTGTGGTTCTGTGATAATTTAACCTGGTAATTTAGAGGTGGTTATCCAAGCTCATATGAGTGTATGTGCTCACAAAAGGCAGAACAACATTCTTTCATTAACAGATACATATCCGGAAATATCTCATTTTTATTGTATGAAAATATTTCTAATTCTCTAAGGATATTTTTGGGGTTTTTTTCCCTTAATATTATTTAAATACATTTATGTAACAGAGTATACAAAATCTTTTTGTAAAAACAAAACAAAACAAAACAAGAAAAACAAGATTTTTTTTTAATGGAGTAAATACCCTTTGACTTTGCCCCTTCCCAAAGTATTTGATTTTGGTCTGTTCTGATCTTATCTGGGCAGTTTTAATTCTGGTGTAATCGTGACTTGTATTTCCCTGGAGTGAAGAATGTGACACCTCTCAGGCTGGTGTGTTTGACCAGACAAAGCCTCCACTGACCCCTTTAAATATAAGACTGAATAAATAGGATCAGACAGCCTGTCATGGATGCACTGTAAATAAGTTCTTAAAACTGCTGTCAGTAGCAAAAAAAAGGAGATTTGGGGCTCTGTAGGGTCTAGGATTATTTCCTCTTATGAAAATTCAGCTCCTTATTCTAGATTAAGATTTAGGTGGTTACCTTAAACTAATTAAATAAAACCCCAAAGCCTCTTGGGCAGAACATACCCAAGCTGTAGGACAGAATTAGGAAAAGGGACATTTGCACCTTGAGTGACCTGTGTCCCCCATCCCTGTTTCTGGTGGGAGACAGGCAGGGTTTGGGCTGTGTTGTACATTCTAGGACCAGGTCATGTTTTCACTGAACCATAACTCTGACCAGTTCTCACAGTTAAGCACTGAAATATCCTTTAGTAAGTCCTTATTTCAGGCTGCATATTTTGGAAGAATTTGAGCCAAAATGTCCAATTTCAAAACACAATCCTCCTTTTGTTTGTCTTCCTTTATTTTCTGTCCTTGTGGAGCAAACCTTTCTGAGCTTTCCTCTGCAGCCTGGAAGGATGTGCAGCTTTTTAATGAGGGCTGAGTCTGGTGTGATCCCAGATGTCTGTAGCCCACACAGGAGAGCAGCAGAAAGAACAGGAGGATGTTCAAGGGAACACTTCCAGTCAATAGAGCCATGTGAGCCCTGGTCCTGGCCTCTCCCAGGGCTTGGTTTAATGGAATCATTTTGGGGATTTCAGGGGTTCAGCTGCATGTGTTCTCATTTTCTACATCTTGGTCACGTTTCCCTTTGTTTAGAGGCTCAGTGGAATTTGGATTTTCACAGGGTAGCTCAGTGGCAATCACTGCACCTTAACTGGTGCATTGCTAGGTCCTGTAAAATTGCTGCCTCCAGAAGATAATAGCATTTAGTTAAAATACATCCAGGTGTATCATGGAATCAGTGCCCTTCAAATAACGTGGCATCATCAGGAACCTGGCCAAAATAGCAAGTTTATAGCAAAGGCCATCATCAGGAAAACCATGCCACTTCAGTTTAATCCTCGTGAGCTGCTCTTTACCCCACGTGTACACAGCACAGAGGGTGACTGTGCACACAGTGACTGAGCTGAACCTGGTTTCCATGTGTGCTTATGGAAGTTGTGTTCAGAGCAACCACAAAAGTGAGCACTTGAAAGCTGCATTTGTATTTCTAAGTGATTCCCAGTCATCCTAGTATCTTCAAGGATGGGATTTTAAAGCTGTGCAATAGGTTGAAGTTTGTGTTTCATCTTCTCTGTCTTGACCACTGCTGCTGCTTCTGTGGCTTCTTGTGGCCGGTGGTGAATCTCTAATACCCTGGGCTAGGTCTGTCGTGAACCAGTCTTTTCAGAGAAGCCCCTTGCCAGCTATGAAAGGGTAAATATAACTTCTTAAGCTACAACTGATTGCCAAGGCTCAGTTCGTGGTGCTGCTCAAAATGTTGTGAAATGAATTGTTGAGAAACTGTGGTAGAAAATGCTTAATCACAGTGATGCAGAAAGCTAATGCATGCCCCCAGTGCTCAGCTATAAATATGGAGTGATGCTTGAATTGTTAATGAACTATTTGCATTTTAGAGTTTGATGAAGCTTGATTTATCATTAGACAATTTGCTCATTGTCTAAATATTCCAAAATTGTGGCGTTCTTACATTGCCACTTCCCTATTTATTGTTATTTGTATTAATAGCTCTGACATCTTTCTTTCCATTTCAAAAATATCAAAACACTTGAGAGGCAAAATTAAGTCTCATTGCCCATGGTACTGACATGATAAAGTGAGGCAATTAAAGGTGAGGAGATTTATTCTTGGTGGCAGAAGTGGAAACACAACCTGTCTCCAGTTCAGTTTCTATTTATTCCTCACCAACATACAGCTCCTGAAACATGTCTAGGCAAACAGGATCTCAGTACAGAAAAGAGCACAAATAGTTTGTATATTGAAAAGGAAACCTGGAGTTCATCTAAATCTAATTATGTGTTTTTCTCTTTTTCTCCTTTTGGATATTTTGTTCATCTGACTGGCCGTCAATATTTAGAAGAAATGCATATTCCTACTCCTATTACTTGTAAGTATTTGACTGGGGATGAGGTTTTTTGAGCATGTTCACCCTGTGGTAATTTTGGGCTTTATTTTTTTTCTTTTTGTTTCTCTTTTTCTTTTTATTTTTTTAATTTTTTTTTACCACTCCATTTATCCTTGTCTTTCCAGCAGAATGTATTTTATTTTCCCAGTTGCATGCTGTTTTCTCCATTTTCCCACTGCACCTGTAGCTATGCCTGCAAAAATATGAATGTCCACAGATATGTCACTTATGGTTTATAACTCTTCAAACTGGATATTCATCTTTAGATTGGATATCAGGAAAAATTTCTTCACCAAAAGGGCTGTCCAGCACCAGAACATGTGGCCCAGGGAAGAGATGGATCACCCTGAGGCATTTATTTAAAAGTTGTGTAGATGTGGCACTTGGGGACAGGGTTTGGGGATGGACACAGAAGTGCTGGAGGAACAGTTGGACTTGATGATCTTGAAAATATTTTCCAACATAAATGATTCTATGATTCTGTAAATGCTAATGGACAAATACAGAGTGTCCCAAGTGCACCTTTTTAATTGTCCACTGCCTGTAGCCACACTTCAGGGAAATTCACACCTGAAAGTTATTGTTGGGAATTTCTCAGCCATGGATGTAAGCTTTTTAAAAACCTTAAGGTTTCTGACCCCTGGGAGTTGACATTATCCCAGCAAACATCTCTGTTCCTGGAGCTGCCAGGTTCTGAGTGTTGGTTTAGATCACTGGATGATGAAGTGATTCAGATATTCAGATCTAAATCACCTGTCCAGTCCTAATGACAATGCTGCATAATTAAGGCAGTTGTTAAGGCACATGAAAATGCTTCACACATCAGTACTTCCAGAGCCATCTGTTGCCTAAAGATTGAGGGGCTGGGAAGCAATCAGGGCCAAGCTGTTTCTGCCGTGATAATGGTTGTCTGAGGACCTGGGGGAGGAGAAGGCTGGATCAACGATGTGAGGAAAAAGTCCTGGAGAAGTGAGTAGAGGCCTCTGCTGCCATCAGAGGGCTGGGAGGATGGAGAAGGCAGCTGTTGCTGTGGGCAGGAACAGCTCTGCCCTCTCCAGCTCTCAGAAGCAGCAGGAGGTCTGTCACTGACACCAACCCTTTCTCCAGAACCTGCCAGGCTTGTCAGGGCTCTGAAACCCACCACATCAGCCCTGACAGCCCCTCCTGGTCTGCTGCTCCAGGAACTGCCTCCTTTGCCCCTTCCTGCAGTTCCTCCTTGTCTCATCTTGGTGGTTTTTCTGGAAGGAGTTCAGCAGGTCAGCAGAATGAGAGGGTTCATGTGCTGCCATGTTAAGGGGAGCTGATTTCTTTCCATATCAGTTGTTTTATGTCCAAACAACAGGGCAAAGGAGGATCCCCATGTACCACTGCTTGGAGAGATTTTGTTTCTCCATGACCTGTCAGGAAGCTTTTGAGAGAGGAACCTTTCCCACTTTCCAAACATGTGAGGACGCTTAGGACACCATCACGAGTCTTGACTTTGCCCAGTGATGTAATTGTAAATGCAGAGTAACTCCATTTCCTCTAGACCTCCCACTGGTTCACCAAGAATGGAATTGGACCTCAAGTAGTCAGATTAAAGAGGAGATTAACTGAGTATAAAGTAGGGGCTGGTTCTAACCCAAAGGTGCTACAAGCTAGTTGAATTTATTGATAGAACCTTTCCTCTTCTGCACATTTCTCATGTTTTACTGTTTGGTTTCCTTACAACCAATAGCACCACTGCCTGAGAAATTCACTGCCAAGTTTCCCATTATAATTTTGTCTTTTTCCGGCAGTATGTGGTCAGCATGTTCCCTGCTTCATTTTATTTTGAGATCTGTGTGTTTAAAAAGATGAATCAACTTCCGAGACCTCTGTGACCCATTATACAGCTGCACAACATTGCTTTAAGCAGTCAGCTGAGGATTGTTCTGCCAGAGCAAGCACAGGGGTCTGTAAGGGGTCTGTTTGCTGTGGGTCAATTTGCTAGACCCTTTTTCCTCAGGGAGCAGTGCAGTGACTCAGGAAAAGTGAAGAGAAAACCCTCTGGAGGGTCAGCAAGCCTGGCGTTGCAATGAGCTTCAGCAGAGGCAGAAGGAAGGGCTTTAATAAGGTTTAATGAGGCAGATGTCCACCGTGCAGCACATCACACCAGGGAAAAGCCAGAGGTGCCATCAGGCAAGCTGAGTGTTCATAGGAGCCACTGGAGGTTGGAGCTCAGCTTGCAGAAATCACGGAGATTTTCCCCCCAGTACCACACCCAAAATGTCCTGCAAAGAGCTCACTCTTAGCTCTGTGCTGGTGCTGCCCCAGGGACCAGCAAGCTGGAGGCATCACATCTGCAGTCACCTCACCATAAACAGTGCCAGCACCAGGCTCTGCCTGCCTTGGTTCACATGGACATCTGCTCTGTCCCCTGCACTGCGAAAACCAAGCTCTGGTTCGGATTTTTTCCCCTTGAACAACAATCAAGGTAAAAAGGATGTTCTAGTAGTGAGGGAAGAAAGCAGGAGAGCCCATGAAGGAGTAGACAGTGAAGTTCTACTGAATTTCATGTTTCAAGTTTCACATGAAATAGAATTGCAGATGAAAATCTGAAATTGCTAAGGCCTGTGAAAATTCTTAGCCAAACTTGATTCATATTTCTCTGGACTCTTATGAGCAGAGAGGTTGGATTTAAGTTTATTTGAAATGTTGTGGAAATAACAGCAGCAGTATAGTTATATACAGATTTTTTTAAAAATAGAATTGGTTTCTATGCTATGACCTTGCATGAATTATTTAGTCCTGAAGCAAAATTCAGTTGAATGAGCTACCAGTATTGAAAAGCAGATTCCCAAATAGATCTGCTGGCAGATCTTTAAATGTGACCATATGGACTGTATCTCTTCATGTTTGGTTTCAGTTTCTGGACTTCAAAGCTGTGTTTCTTAGAGCAATTCTTGTCTGCTTTCAGATAATTCCTCCCAACCCTTTGCCATCTTCTGTACAGGCATTTCTTCTTATTAGGGACCAAAATCTCCTATCCTAACTCTTCCAAACAGTTCTGTAATGTTAATTCTATAATGATAATTCTATTAAATTCCAAACAGTTCTGAATGATAATTCTATTAAAGTCACAGAGACATTTTTGAGGAGTATCTGGTCTTTACAGAGACAGGCTACAACATTTTGGTAGTCTCTGGACTGGAGTTCTGCCCTCAGCCAGTCTTGTGTTCTGCTGCAATTCAGGACTGGAAAATCTGATTCTGTGGGATGGTTGAGTACCTGCAGCTCTGACTGGTGAAACCAGTACAAAATATTCACTTACACGAGCAGTTAATTTGGGCATGCATAGTTATTAGGTAAATAGTTGTGGGAGTCTTGTACAGCAACACTTGATTGAAAACTTCCTACAATATACAGAAAGATGAAAGAGAAGGCCATGAAGATCTTTAACATGCTTTAAGTGGAAATACAACCCAGGAGGCCTCGATTCTTAACTTGTAAGTCATCGTGCAGGATCAGCATCATTTTGTTCCTTCAGGTTACCCATCAGCAAAGGCTGATTGCTTATGGGTTGAGATCCTGTGAGGAGAAAGAGATGGAATTAGGAATTCTTGTCCTGGTGCACTCCTTGCATCCCTGTGCCCAGGGTGATGCCTGAACCTTTTCAGAGGAGTTACTCTGTATTTACACCCACACAAATGGTGTCTAAGGTTGGGATAGAATTGCTGCTGTCTCTCTGCACTTAAGTTTAATGGGCAGTGTAAGATAGCCCAGCCAGCTCTGGAAGATGTTGGTTTTACTCCCAGCTAAAGCTGTAAAACAGACAGCAATTCATCCAGTTTACAGAAGGGTTTGCATCTAGTGACAGACACCTCTTTTGCAACAGTATTTTCAACTGCAGCAATCCATATCATGATTTTATTATTTGCTCACCAGGAAAATAAATGGAAATGTTTTCTGTGTGTGGGTTGTTTGTTTTGGTTTGTTTCTTTCTCCTGGGCTGGGTAATGGCTGCAGAATGAAATTTAATCAAGAGCAATATGAGACCAGGGAAGAATTTCTGGAAATACAGAGATTCATGTATGTGTTACAAGCACTCAGTTTAATGTTATTTATTAGAAAAGGGCACTCAATGGCCAAGATGTTTTTCTTTTTCTCTGAACAGCGTAGAGCTCCAGGGACATGATTGCAATATAGGAAGCCCCTTCAACTCCCACTGAAATCTCACACCAGTTTTAATTGTTGGATGGTTTCAGCTGGGAGTTTCTTTACATGGGAGAGATTGCAAAGGTTATTAAGCTAAATTTATACTTAGATTTTTTGAGATAACAAAGTTTGTGCTGAATTTATTGCCACCATCTGTGGGACATTTGAAAAGAAAAACATCCCTTTATTTTATTTAGAAGCTTACCTCTGTATAACCACATTCACACATAAATATCTCCATGTATTTCCATGGATTGTGGGATCTGCCTGCACAGGTCAGCCTTCTAAATCAGAATTTTAAGAAGAAACGTTCTCATTAGGTGCTTTTCTCATCAGATGATGGAAAAACAGGATCATTAATCAGTGGCTATGCTTGTCTAATGAAAGCAAATTAAAAGATAATATATCAAAATGCACAAAGTAGATGAGATGATATTTAGAACGTGTCTGTATGGTGATTGCAAGCCTAAGCCTTGCAGAGGGCAGGGTTTGTGGGTGTCTGTACCAGCAGGGACTAATACTGCATGGCTCCCACGTGCACCTGGCTTGTCTAAAGTCTGGTTGTAAGTAAAACTAAAAAATAAATACTAAAAAAAAATCACCCACAAGCAGTGATTAATTTGATCAAGTGAAGCTTAGATCATACTCTCAAGAGCCTGTGCTTGTATACCTACAGTACAAAACATTCAGGGCATCTTTTGACTCATCTCCGCTTTCTCCTGTGAAGTTTGCTCTGTGACACTGGCCTTTGCTCTTCACTACACCTTTACTACACCTTTACTGCAGCAGCCTCCCTGTGCTCCTGCCACAGCCTGGCTTCAGCAGAGCAGGTTAAAGCAGGTTCAGGAGGGGCAGGGTTCAGGAGGAAGCACACATTTAATCTGCAGCATGGAGCGGGTCCCCCGGTGTGTGACAGAGCACTGCTCTGAGCTCCCGCTCCTGTGGCTCTGCTCACACCCCTCTGGTGAGCAGCATTTCCCAGCCTGTCTGCCCCCCTGGCTTCAGAGATGGGCAGCTCCTCCTGCATGGAGCTCTCCCCCCGTTTAGAATGAACAGCCTTCCCCAGAGCTTCCCACTTCCCAGCCCCTGCAGGCAGCTAGAACAGCTCCTCTCTGGTGTCTCTTCATGTCTGAAGACTACCAGCCCTATTTGATTCTCTAGATTAAAGGTCCACATTTCCTTTGGCCTTTGCTTGTAGATCGTGTTCCCACCTTTACCTTTCGTGTCCTCCTTTGTGTGAGCCCCTGTGGCACATGTCTGATTTGAAGAGCAGTGTTGTAGCAGAGCTCTCTCCAATCCTCAGTCAGAGCAACAGGATCACCCAGATTACAGTGCCATGCCCTTAGTTTCAAACCAGCCTGAAACCATTCTTCCAAATTGGATTTGTCATCTACCACAGGTTTAGGGCATGGAGATCCTTTCCAATACCTCTGCTGTTTGACCAGTGCTCCCTGGGATTTGCATGGCTCATCGCTGCCTGCCTTGAATTGGAGCAGATTCCATCACAAATTACAGGTGTACTCCTAGGAGTTTGCAAGGCACAATTCTCCAAACGGAATTTTTTTTTCCGACTTTCTCAAATTGCTTATTGAAAATGAGGACAATATGCAATTTGTGTCTGTGGGAGGAAATTTCATGTTTAACTTACATGATCTATACCTAATGCCTAAATTACCTGAGCATGCAAATCTACATCACAGTGTACAAAATCCATCCTTGGAAACATCTAAAATTAAATCTGTCAACGTACATGCACGAGAGTTCTCCAGGAGTGGCAGTTACAGATTTAATGTTCATGCATGTGGAATTGACAGAAGAAGTTAGAGAAGAGTTTGAAGCTGCTTTTAAAAAATAATCCCTGACAGTCATCCAAACCTCCATGAAACAGGAATCTGATCCTGCAGATAGTTCTAACAGAAAATATTGCTGGAGCCTCCTGATTAATGCCTGTGGCAGTAAATGGTTTGTGCTTGATACCAAGTTTGCATTCCTAGACTGTTTAAGTAGAACTCCCACAATTTTAATACAGTGCTTCAGATTTTATGTCTAGTCTCTGATATGAGTAGAAGTTTCAAAAAAATAACCAAATCAAATCTCCATCATTTTTTCCCCCGAATTGACACTTACTTGTGTTCACTGCCAATGGCTTTTCTCCTTGCTTTAGTGGGGTCAGCATCAACTGCCTGATTATACAGCTGGTTTCATTTTTTCATTCAGTTTTGAACATCTTTCTGTCTCATCCCTCCTCTGTGTGTGTGGTGCTTGCAAACATCATCTCTTCATTTCCAAACCCTCTCAAACTGAAAAGAGCAACCTGGTAAACTCCATCCATGGATTCCTGCTTCCTTCTTGCCACATTTCCCTTACCCTTGGATGTAAACCAGCATTAAGGTCATTTTTATTCACATCCTGACATTCTGTGTTGATTGTATCAGACTCTTCTTCCCAATATCTGCCTGGTCCTTTATTTCCTCCCCTTTTCAGCTGCATATTGCATGAGTGGGGAAGTGTCTGCTCCATGAGGGGTGTCAGCTCTGCTGGGGACACTCTGGGCACGCAGCCAGCCCATGCCTGACACTGATGCTCCCAGAGCAGTTTTGTTGGGGTGTTGCAGTGGCTCTGTGCAGGGCAGAGGGGACAGCGGGAGCCATGTCACCGGTGTGACTTGTCAGTGATTCACAGAGATCTCTTGGAGCGCCCTATTTTTGGAAACAGCATTTCTAGATAAATGCTTTTCCATTTCCAAAAGGCATTTTGACGTGCTGGGAAATAAACCTCTACCTAGCTGTGGGTTTTAAGTCACATCCCTAACATTCTGGAAAGTGCTAGTCATTTGATTTTCTAATCTTTTCTATGAATTATAATGATGGTAAGGACCAAATAGGCTTAGTCCTGTGCTGCCACTCTCTCCAGACACAGAACGGCAGCAGAAAAGGCACGTTTAGAAACTGAGAGCCCCTTGATGTGTCTGGCAAGCTTAGCTCTGAAATCCTCAAAAGAGATCTGTCTTCCTTTTCCCTCTAAATTTAGATGAAGAATTTTTACATTCTTGGAACAGAGAGGGAGAAAGGTGGAAACTGATAAGGCGCTGTGGAAAGAAAATTGTAGCGTTGTCAGATGCAGACCTGGGTTGTGTGTGCGAGGTAGATTGAGAACTTTAAACTCATGTCACCTTTTCTTTTTAGGCATTCAAGCCAATGTTTTAGGGGCCTCTCTGTCTTCTACAGGACCAGGTAGAACTCCTTTGCATAGGGCTTTTGTAAGCAGGCCTTTGGGGACTAAGGGGCTTGGGTTTGGGGTTATTTTTTTCCTGCCTAGGACATGCAGAAATGTTGTTACTCATTCACTCAAAGACAAAGCAAGTTTGCCAATTCCTGCTCTTTGTAGCTTGTTGGTATTTCTGAAAAGATACCAGGCAATGGGGACTTACAGATAATTATTGCCACAAATAATTTAACTTATGTTGAATGAGGAAGTCGCCCCTTTTGACTCACCATTTTCAACCATTGGAGTCATGGTCTGTAGTGGCTCACCCCAGCAGTCCAGAGTGCTTTTTATTAAGGACTTCTGCATTTTGGATTAGTGTTTCCCACTGAGTTATTTTAATTCTTGTTTCCAAGGAATTCACACAGGCATGTACGATTAGCAAACCATCAGGATTAAAAGATCCGCATGGCAGGGTTAACACACTTCAAGGTTATTTTAGTTACCACCGGTACCACAACACAAAAAAAAACAGGGGCTCCCATGTCTGCAGCTCATGGTTACTAAATCTGGCTGTGCCAATGCTGCTGAACACTGGAAGCAAAGCTTTTAACATCATTAAATGCCAGCTTTTTGCTTCATCACTCAAGGACTGCTCCCCTCTTTGCATCTTCATCTGCACAAGTGGATACACCACGGGGGTTTGGGGAGATCTGAGGAAGCCCCCTGGGATGATGGACCCAATTTGAACAGCTCTAGGCTTGGATTGGAACCACCAACTGTAAATGGCTGAACTCCAACTGGCTGAGCAGATGAAATACATGTGTTTGTTCAGAAGTTTGCAGCAAACATCCAAGTTTTTTTCCATAAATCTGTGCTCTCCTGATCTGATTATCTTTCTTTAAAACAGGCTTTTCCCACAGACACAGGCAAAGGATTTAGCTCACTCTGACCCTTCTTTCCAAACAAGTATAAGTGGCCAAGCTGCCCATCTCCTGAAGGCTGGGGCTCAGCTATGTGCTTGAAACTTCCCTGTAAATGCCACTCTGACATGTTCTGAGCATAAATAGAGCCTGTTAGACTATGTTGGAAGGAGTACCTTTTTTTCTTTTTTGAATCTAATTAAGTTTAAAAGATGGGTAGTACTTACCATAAGCATGTTGTTTCAGAGAAGAAAAACCTCTTTGCAAAATGATTTAGTTGTTAGGATTTTTTTTCTTCTTTGAGTTGGAGAAGAGAAAGAAAACTAAAGCTCCTTCTTACAGTAATCTGTTTTTCTCCCTTTTATTTTATTTTCTTATCTAGGGAAGTGGTGTAAGCAAAGTTCTTTGCTGGTGCTAGGGATTTTTGTGATATTTTTTCAAGGTATGGATTGTAGAATGTCACACATTCATTTTTAAAGGGTTTTGCTCTCTGATACGAATGAAGCACAGGGCAGTCAAATGTCAGTGGAAGCTTAGCAGCTCACTTTTCCTGCTTCTCCTCATTTTATTATGCTCTGTGTTTGCAAAAGAGGAGCCTCTTATGTTCTCAGCTTTGTTACTGTTTTCAGAGCAAGCAGCCTTGCTGCTTTTGACAAAGTTTTTGCTGTCTCCTCAAAACAAGAAAAGACCCATTTTCCTGGAACAGGGCCATTTGGACATTGCTAAAAGAACCTCAACCTTCAGTGTGCCCCACCCTTCCCTGGCTGGGGATCCCAGAGCAGTTCCAGGATGTGTCAGGACTCAGGAGGCTGCTGCCCTCATGGCTGTGCTGGGGACAGGACAGAACTCTGCTCCAGCTCTCAGGTGGCACAGAGCCAGGTCTCACACTCCCTCAAAGAGCATCCCATGGGATGGATGCAGATGTCCTGGTCCCCTGGAGTGAGCAGTGCTCCCATCCCAAGCCCTCTGCTCCTCCTGGAGCACGCGGCTCCTGCTCTGGGGGCTGGACCTGTTCCACCCTCTCCAAGGCACCTGCTCCAGGGTTTGGACATATTGCACCTCTCCAAGGCTGAGGTAGCACTCCCACTGCTGGGGTGATGCAGGTTTGTGCCAGATGAGTGACGGGGAGGGAGAGCTCCAGGCTGGTATCACGATATTTATCGTGCTCCAGAAGCTGCATTAAGAACCTGTGGGGTTTTCAGGCAGGCGGTTTGTCACATGCCTTGCATGTCTGACCAAGTGGGGTAATTTTGTCAAAATATTTTGCCATTGCTTTGCTTTTAACGAGGGCAAACTGACCTTGCTTTCTCCCCTCTCCAAACCACCCAAAGGAAGCTAGCCAAGAAGCAGAAGGAGACTCAGACCAGCACGCAGAGGGAGATGGGTCCTGTGGCTGCTTCTGACAAGACCTCCACCAAACTCAGTGCTGTTCACAATGAAGAAGCTTTTTCTTCCAGCTGCCAAGATGTTAATGGATTCAGTAAGTTTAACTTGCTTGCAATGGATATGACCCCCTTGGAGAGCTCTAGGTTCTTAAAAGGACCTATTCCTTTGGGCACAGTGTTGAGGAGTTAGGAATGGCAGTGAGAGAGATTGTTGCAAAAGCTCCATAGAAATCTGGAATGTCTCTGATACTGCCCCTGGTTTCACTGTCAGACAGGTGGAGAACAATCCCCTGGGTCCAAATCTACTGAGAATAATTTGTAAAGCCTGTTCTAATAACTGCATCACAATAAGAGGCACATGTTTATTTGTTGTTTAGAAATACTTTTCCTTTGTGAGTAAAAGAGTCAAATCCCTTAGCTGTCTTGTGGGATGAAAAAACATTTTCCATATGAAATTGTTATGAAAGAAGGCCTAGTCTCCTGGCTGGAGGACTGGAATGGAAAGCAGCATTTCTTCCTTTGTCTGTGTCCTCGGTTTATTCTTCACATGGATTCAGTAAAACTGATCTTAGTTAACATTTGTAAACCACTCAGACCTCTGTAGCTAAGAGTTTTGTGGGTAAAGCAGCACCAACTCCTACTTTAGCCTCACTAGCTCCAGGCTGAGTGCATGGTGGATTGCATGGTGGATTTGTAAATTTTTTCGTATTAAATAAATTGAAACTTAGACACTATGGGCATGTCACTCCTTCTTTTGACATTCAGCCTGTTAGTTTGGACAAGGGACAGCTCTGAAACTCAAGTGTGTACTACAACTCTTGTCTTTATTAAGCATCTTTAGAGAAGGGTTTTTTCCCCCAATTAGTAAAATGGAAGATAGAAAATGTGGTTTATCATTGAAACCTCCCCCTGTAATCTGAACCTGAGTGGGACAGGTTGAGTGAATTCTTCCTTTGCCTCTCTGCAGGTCGTGTCAAATTGCATCTGCATGTGCTGCTACTGCCACTTTGTGTAACACACCTGTGAGATGGATAAATAGGAGTGTGGGACAGCCAAGGTTGGCAGGGAACACTTTTCTCTGATATTAAATTGACTTCAGTCAAGATCTAATTTTCTCAGGTGCTGAGTAGCTCTGTCCTAAGGAGGCAGCAAGAGTTCTGTGGGGTTCCTATCTCTGAAGGCCAGGAGAGCAGCAGACAGTGTTGTATCAGCCATCCCCAAAACAGCAGAGGCAGCTTGGCTGGAGTGTGGGGAAAGTCAAGTGTTTGACACTTCCCTCAGAATCTGGGCTTCTCAAAGTGTGGGGATTCTTTTTCCAACCAGAAAATTAGAAAAGAGACAAGCTTGAAATGTGACCTCATCTTTCCCCCTCCCATCCTTGTTATTTTGACAGACTAATTAAAACAGCTGAGTCATTTGCTTGAAATGGTAACTGTAGAAAATATGATGTATCAAGTTTTGTAAAGAAACAGCACTCCAGGTTTTCAATTTTTTCAATTAGTTGGATGTTTACTTGTCTGACATCTCTACAGATTTTATCACTGCCTTCCCCTATAACCTGAGTCAGTCATGGGTGGATGTTTTTTTTCCCCTCTTTATATCTATGAGAAAGAATTATCAATAAACCTTCATGATTTCTCCAAATTTTTTACTGCCAAGTCCGGGATGCTGAGGTGTTGGAGGTAAGTTCTGTGCAGTAGTGTGCACATGCTGATACAGGAATTTTATGGGTAAAAGAATTCCTTGAAAAGAAAAATAAAACAAATTGCCTTAATGAAGTTTAATACTTGTGGGTTCTATACAGGCCTACTTTGGAATAACATAATAGGATTATTTCTTAACCTTCCTGCTAACTAATAGAGTTTTACAGCGTTTATCCACCAGAGCTGTTGAAATCAACTGTCTTAAGCAGCAGTCCGATTCCTTCTTAAATTGGTTTTTTTTTTTTTTTTGCCTGCCAACAGTAAATAGCATTTACAGCACCCCATGGTGGGCAGTCACCCTCTCCATCCTGCCCTCAGCTCTGGAGCCTGAGCTGGCTGCAGCAGGGAGGTGGAAATGCCCTCTCCTTTTGGAAGAAGAGCCCACCAAGAGAAGCAAAGTTGTTTTCAATGCCAGGATCACCTTGCCAGCTCACAAAAGCAATCACACAGAACAAGACAATTAGCTAAGTAGGATCCCTCAGTTATTGAACGACTTGCAGGCAACTTTACCTGCAGAATGCCATGGCCTTGCAGGGCTTGTGTCCTTGCACCCAGCTTTCAGTTTCTGTCACAATAATTCTGATAACTTTTCAGACAGAACAAATTCAGTGGGTGCCTACAGAAGCTTTCCTCTTCCCATGCTCTCTCCAGTTGGCCACTGGTCTGCTCCTGGGTGAGTCCTGTCCATCCTCCTGCTGTTCCTTACCCTGACTCCCTGCCCTGCCACCACACAGGACTATTTTCTAAATCAGTTAGGTTTAAAAATCCCACTTTCGTGGGTGCTGCCTAATGCTCTGCACCATGAGGAAGATAAAGAATGAACAGCTGCCCTCCTTCTTATCAGCCCCTTGTTTTCTGTTGAGGCATCCAGACCTCAGGTCTTGCTGAAAAGAGGAAGAGAATTGGGCATTTCTTTTTCTTGGCCTGAAGCAAAGCCCCTCATCCCTCTTTCCATTCTGCAGTGTTAGTTTTAATCCTGGCAGGATTCTCACTGATACATACAGGTGTTGAAATTAAAGAGATTTTTTTGGACTCAGCCTCTGTCTCTGACACTCCACAGAACCAGAGAAGGTGGTTGGTGAAACACAGATTGGTCTGTGGCTGTTCCAACTTGTCTGCTTTCACATGGGGATTATGAACAATCACAGCTGGTCATTTTCTCAAATATCTTGGGCTTTTTTAAGATCTCAATATATCCCAACTCCATGAGAGGCAGGTGATGGGCCTGGCAGTGGCTGAGCAGCTCCCTGGAGTGCAGGAATGTTGGGAAGCAGCAGAGTCAAATGTAGACACTGGCTCAGGGCAGGGTTATTATGAAACAAGATGGGAAATGGGAAACAAAGTGGACCTAAATTAGCCCCCCAGTGTCTGCACTGACCAGAAGGGTGTGCAGGGGGTTGTGACCCTGCAGAAATCACGGACAGTTTGGCAGTGATGGGATGAGCAGCAGTGGATCAGCTCAGCAGGGATGCACTGATGTGCTCTGCACAAAGAAACTGCTCTTCTGGCTTTGCAGTGCTCAGGTGCCATGGACCAGCCTTGTCCAGGAGAATTCCCTATCCCCAGCAGAGCCATCCTGATATCCCTGCAGGGGTTCTGGCAGGAGCTGTTGGATTCTGAGGATTTAACCCATCAAAATGCAGCCAGTTTTGCTGGAGACTGATTTATTAAGGTGTGCTTTACCTGTGTGACATCTCAGTTTGGGGGCAGACAGCTCTCCAGACACCCTGCAGGAGGGACACAGGTGAAGGAGTGGCTTTAATGCTTCAGGCAGAGCATTCTGGAAGTGGGGGAACTGAGTTCTGCAGCAGGAACCACTACCACAAGTTACCAAGTCAGTGTGATTTCACTTACGAGAACAGGAAGATGAGAGGGAGGTGTAGGCAAATGGCACCCAGGATTTAAGGGATCCATTTGTACCAAGAAACATCAAAACACCTTTCTACAATCCTCCATGATTTTATGATCAGTAAGATGTAAAGGTCTTCGCAAAAGGCAAGCACAGCAAGATGTAGTTCTTACTCCTGCCCCGTGGATAATTTTCACTCCTAATTAGGTGACCTGCCAAATGCAGTCTAAGGACTTGTAGGGTCGTGGACATGAGATTTCCTTTAGTAAAAAAATTCTTTAAATAATTTAAAAATAAAATACAAACCCACATTTTATCAAAGGCATAAAAGGAAAATGTATTAAATTCCATTTTACTGGCTTCCATGGGATTTTTGAGGGATTTGCTAGTTTAGGAAATATTATAAAAATTAAAGAATAATTTTCAGAATAGGAAGGAGCCTTCACCACTCTGCATGACTGGAGGGATCTGTGTGGCCTCACGTGCCACTCCAGGGAGCACAAAGAGAATTTTTAATCAAGTCTTAATCTCTACTCTGATGTGAAATCCTCTCTGGACATGTTTCCTTTGATTACAGACCCAAATGCCTGTGAGAAATGCTAGTTAGAAAGCAGCCCTGTGTATACATCTCATTATACAACCTGACTGATTTCAGGAACAAGTTCTCCAAAGTTTTAAGAAACTTCTCTTTTGTGATTGTGGGGTTTGGGGGATTCAAGTTTTGGTTTTATTTTTTGGTTTCGTTTTTAATTTGTTTTGGTTTTGGGTTAGTTTTTTTCTTGGTTTTGTTTGGGTTTGTTTGGGGTTTTTCCCCTCTTTTTAAATCTGAATCTAAAAGTCACATCCCTGTGTCACAAACACAATTCATGTCATAGACCTCAGTTGGTAGCATCTTTAATCAAACCCACTGACATGAGGTGTTTATCTGGAAATTCATCCTCAGCAGCTCTGGAAAGGCAGTATGGCCCTAGGAGTTCTTTTATACACCCAAATTCCAAAAAACTTGAGTCCTGCCCCAAGCCCTGCGTGTGGCCTTGCCCTGTGACACCGGGCAAACCAATTGCTCTGTTTAGATCTTATTTGATATTATGTGAAACGTGGCCACGTCCTAAGTGTGGTGAGAAGGGTCTGATTTAGGCTGACAAAAGGGCAAGAGGCCCCAAAGCAGAAGAACTTCACGACTTAAGGCAGCAGACCAAAGTGTGAGGAATTTGATTGTTTTAATGTGTTTCCAAGTCATGTAGGTCTGAAAATAAGGGGTGAGAATGCAGAAAAGAGCGAGTTCATTAACGAGATGATTATAACCTGCTCAGGAGGTAATTCTGACTTTATGGAACTCCCTAGACCAGTGACTTCTTTGGGTGTCCCCACAGAATAACTTGAATTTTTTAAGCAGTGTTTGCTCCATAGATACAAAAAATTGCTTCTGAAATTACTTTGATGTACACTGAGTTTTATCTACTTCTGTTGGGCTATGGAATAGTTTTTCCTGTGTTATCTGTTGTCATCTTTCTGATGTACTGAGATTTGTATTAGCTTGTTTCCCAACATTCTGAGGAGGAGATATATAAATGCCTGTAACTCTGGGAGTGAATGCAGAGTGATAACAAAAGAATATGCCTTCAAAAGTGATGGATTACCATAAGAATGTGCATGTTTGCTGCTGTAGGTATAAACCAGCCTCATAAATTTACTATCAAGACAAGAATCTACCACGAAGATGTTGAGCCCTTCCTCCTTTAAAAAATATTTTATTAATATGGAAATTTGTGGATTCTTGTCCAGAAAAAGTTAATGCTGTAATGGGAGAAGGCAAGGATTTTTGTCCTGCTGACAGAACCCAGGTCACAGGGGAAGGGATTATAGGATTTGCTATGAACAATCCTGGGTTGAAGAACAAGTCCCTTGTAATGTTGTAATGTTTTAACCAAAAAATTGCTACCCCACCTGTGTATTTTTGTGGTACATTGTGTTTGAGTAGGTTTATTTTACTGTCAATACTGATTCTCTGTAGTTTGTATTTTGGGGGTAATTTTTGAGGAATTTCCTCTTAGAGACAAAACCCTAAGTTTGCTCCTTTGGTTAAAAAAAAAAGAACATTTAGAATATAGACCTATGAGTGTAGCTCTGTGTGTATCCTATTTAGGAACACATTGATTTACAGTAACTATAATCCTATATTTGGGGTCTGGAGTGCTTATATTAAAGAAAATCCATCATGATGACAATGTAATAAATGTAATATGCATGTTGAAATGAAAAATATAATTCATTTTGATAAGCCTTATATATCCCATATTACTGTGTTCTTTGAGGAACATTCTCCCTGTTCTCTTTCTCTCTCTTAATATATGTCTAAAGTCTTTTCCTTATGTCTTTCCTACCTAGCATCACCCTCTCCTTGTTCATTTTCTGTCCAAAGCAAAACCCTTCAGAGCAAATCTATGTTGAATTCCTACTACTCAGGTACTAGTGCCAGACTTTTCTTTCATTCCTAAATTTTCTTTGCTTTTGTACGTTACCCAATATAACCTATAACAGACCGAGGCTTCTGAGTGTGAGACACAGCTAACCTTGTTTTCATTTTCTGTAACTTTTCTTTTCCTGTTGATCCTCTGTTGATTTCCATTGATCCCTGTCGTGTGGGTGAACGGAATTCCATCTCAAAGTTTCATCAGACACCGTCCCATCGACCACGCTGTTAGGTAAGAGGACAGGTATGGTGTGCTGGGCTGAGCTGGAGAGCAAACACACTCTTTGTGTCATGAAAATAACACCCCAAAGGACTTGGCTTCCAAAATCAGAATTATTCCCGTGCTCGTGTGTTAATCAGAAAACTGTTGTTTCATTCACGTTTTGTTATTGCTGTTAATTGCTTTCAAAGGAAAAAAAAAATCAAAAATTAAGGTTTACTCATTTTTTCAAGTACATGTTGTTTCTTTTGTCAATGAGATTTGGGGTTCTGGGCCCCTTTCCCACGCGCTGCCTTGCCTTAGGCTTGGTTCTGACCCTGCAGCTGGTTGTGCCTGTGCAGCTGGCACAGAGTCACTGAACAGTTTGGGTTGGAAGGGATCTTTGAAAGCTCTCTATGCCATGGGCAGGAACACTTTCCTATAGACCAGATTGCTCAGAGCCCCATCCAGCCTGACCTGGAAGGTTTCCAGCATGGGGCATCTTCCACCCCTCTGGGCAACCTGTGCCAGTGTCCCAGCCTTTTTATAGAAAGTTTTGTCTTTGTATCTAGTGTGAATTATCCTGTTTCCATTTAAAAACACCCCTCTGTGCTGTGTGTGAGGCTCGGCTGGACCTGCCTCAGGGGTTGCAAATTTAAGTGAGGATTTGCATGTCTGCAGCAGGTGGGAGCCTGCAGTTCTGGGTGAAGTTGCATGTATAAAGGTTATTTGGAGAAATTCCTGGCTGGGTTTTGGGAACTGGCTCCACCTGATTCTGTGTATGCTGAGAGTTAAATGCTAAATCTTTCAGGCACTCAGGTATGGATTTGAGAGGATAACAAAGGTCCTGAGAGGCAGAGGCTGCTCTGTGCCTCTATAAGGTATCAGAAAGAAATTCTCCCCTGTGAGGGGGCTGAGGCCCTGGCACAGGATGCCCAGAGCAGCTGGGGCTGCCCCTGGATCCCTGGAAGTGCCCAAGGCCAGGTTGGATGTGGCTTGGAGCATCCTGGGACAGTGGAAGGTGTCCCTGCCCATGGCAGAGGTGGCACTGGATGGTCTTTGAGCTCCCTTCTCACCCAAACCTCTGTGATTCTCTGATTTATGAATTACTCTGCTATGGAGCAGAAAGATGATGTGTGGCTGATCAGAATCTAGCCAGTGGGATTTATCATTTTGGATTATCTACAATAAATGTTCCTTCCAGACACAGTAATCTGCTGTCACTGCTTCAAACATCACTCAGAACAGGGGGAAGGGCCACAGTTAGGACAGGAAGAAATGACATCCAGTGGCTGTTCCTTGGTTGTCACTTGGCACAGAGGCTTGGAGGGGCTGCCACAACACACACATCCATCCTGCTGCCTGCCAAAATGCTGATGGCAAGGAATGGGGCCTCTGAATGGGGCAGGAAGGAAAGGTGTCCATTTCCCAGGAGGTTTGCTCTCATTTCCCTGAGGCTCAGTGTCATCAACAGAAAAGCCTAAAGGCAGGTTTCTTTTTTGGCTGTGCTTTAGAAGCAAGGCCCTGACTTGCAGTTTGATACCAAACTCTCTCAGTCTGCTGTTTGGCATCTGGGAAAGCCTGGCCATTCTTTGGGGGAGCTGTTTACCCCCTTTGCCCTGATGGAATT